TTTGCGCTGCCTGTCGTGATGTATGCCTTGTAATGCGCTCACTGCACACCAAACACCACAGGGTTTGAAAAAGACAAAGATCTATTCAGTGCTGCAAGGAGTAACAAGAAGTACTCTTGGAAGAAGGTGCAGTGAGGAAAAGAGACAAAGTTCTGTTGACTGTTTAGCCCTGATCTCGCACCAAAGAGCACACAAAGGAGTTGAGGAAGAGGATTGTTTTGCACTTTCTCCCATTTTTTTTCATCTTTTCATTTGGGTTCACACAAATGTTTAATTTTATTATCGTAAAAGTGTCCCCAGACAGGCTTTGTCACAGCTGTTACAGCACTCTACAGTATATGCATGTAATATAGTACAGTATGCTCCAGTTCACCCTAGTTCAGTCTATTCAGCCTTGAACATGTACACATTCAAGTTTACAAGTTTGTCATTTTTGTCTTCCTCTTAAAGGTGTGCCCGGCTGTTTGATTAACAGCACTTTATCGGCTATTTAATTTCAGAATTGTCCTCTTTCAGTAAAACTGTTCCCAAACAGATAGTTTAATTTGCAGCATTTTATATGTACTGTATACAATACAGTAGGCCGGGTCTATATGCTCAAGTTCAGGCTATGAAGTGTTCCATCATTGTTAAGTGTTGTTAAAGTATACATTTTTAAATTGACAGCACTTTTTAATAGCTTAGAGCAGGGGTGTCAAACATACGGCCCGCGGGCCGGAACCGGCCCCCCAAGGAGGTTCGATCAGGCCCGTGGGGTAATTTGAAAGTGAAAAAAATGCATACAAGACGCGGAATGAATATTTTTAATAAGATGCAATTCATGGATTATCCACTCGGGGGCACCCTGTTTTGATCAGAGAAGAAGACGACAGCAGTCTCAATCTGTCACTGAGACAGACCCAACACAGCAGTAAAAGCCAGCTACCTAATTGTTAGCGAGATAGCATTAGCATCAAAGCCGTATTCTGACGGTGACTTTGAACAGATTCATGATGAAGGCGGCTGAACTTGTTCATCCCAAGAAGCGACAAGCTTTTGCCAATATTAGCCTTACGAGGAAAACTATACCAGAGAGGATTTCGGACCAATCAGCAGATTTAGACAGAGTCAAGTCCATCCATCCATTTTCCGAACCGCTTTATTCTCACTAGGGTCGCGGGGGGTGCTGGAGCCTTTCCCAGCTGTCTTCGGGCAGTAGGCGGGGGGGACACCAAGAATCAGTTGCCAGCCAATCGCAGGGCACACAGAGACGAACAACCATCCACGCCCACACTCACACCTAGGGACAATTTAGAATGTTCAATCAGCCTGCCATGCATGTTTTTGGAATGTGGGAGGAAACCGGAGTACCCGGAGAAAACCCACGCAGGCCCGGGGAGAACATGCAAACTCCACACAGGGAGTCCGGAGCTGGAATTGAACCCGGTACCTCTGCACTGTGAAGTCGACGTGCTAACCACCGGACTTCCGGGCCGCCGAGAGTCAAGTCATTTTGTAAAATTTTTGTAAGATATGTTCTTTTAATTTCAACATTTTCCCAATATTCTAATGCTTCTTGATACCAAAACAAAGGAAATACATGATATTTTGGTTATTTATAACAGAGTATGGTGTAATTTTAATGGTCCAGCCCACTTGACATCTACCGAGGCCGTATGTGGCCCACGATGTGAAATGAGTTTGACACCCCTGGCCTAGAGGCTATGCTCAGGTTCAGGCTACTTAAGTCAATAAAAGAAATAAGGCACTTTCAACTTTTGTACGTCTAAATGCTTTCTTGACTTCCTTCCTTAGTGACCACCGAGTGACCCCACGGCCCGGTGGCTAATATGACATGTTAAATAATGCCAATTAAATCAAAGCATTTTGGGTTTTTTTCATATAAAAAATACATGTGATTCTGTGGATTTCAAGGTTCTCGGGGACGCAAACCCTCACATTTCTTTCGCCTGTGTGGTTTTGCAGTGACACTGTGAGGAGTGTCCCTTATTTCCAGATCTGAAAGGTAGCAACCCTCCAAATGACCCTGATCAAATGTTGACATAGTCCAGTTTTTAATAAGGCCAAACAAAAAAGATAGTGTGTTTCCGGTAACAAGAAATTTCAGCATAGGGTCGGTAGGTCGGACAAAGTTTTTTTTTTCTCCCATCAATAATTTAAATAAAATAACCATAAAACATAAAACAAGAAGACATTGAACCCGCTTTATTTTTTCGATACATCAATGGATGCTATTTCCTTAACATTACGGTGCGAGCACGCGACTGTAACACAGAAAACGCGGTTTAAACTGTCGTCGGAGATCGCGGCCGCCGCCATGTTTCAATGTTGTTGACAGACGACAGGGCAAACGACGCACGCGCTCAACGTGAATATCGCAAGAGTTTGCACCAATGTAAACCCTCTACATAAAAATGTAGAGGGTTGTTTGAAAAAAAAATGCCGACTGTAAAGTTTTTTTTCGACGTAAAAATTCTCGGTCGGTCGGGTTACCGGAAACACTACTTTTTTTTCTACGCCTAACGTGTATTATGCCCCCTTTAACATCCATGACAGCTTTGGAGGGATTTGTGGGAACTGTGGATGAGGCTCTTTATTTTCGTTGTTAAACTGCCCATTATTCTGGGCAAAAGGCCTCGAGTTCCTGTCAATTCTTGGGTCGGCTTGTATGAACAGCACACCTGAGATCTCCCCAAAGTGGCTCAGTGATATTGAAGTCAGAAGACTGATATTGTCCGTTTCACAACCAGAAGCTTCACATGATTCTGCTGCAGCCAATGACAGGTCGAAGTGGCTGTGTTTTGGATCAAAATCATGTTGAAACATCTGAGTACATCCCATGCACAGCATCTGGACTGATGAATGCAAAATTATTTGATAACATATAGCATTCATCTTGCCATCAATTTTGATCAAGTTGTCTGTGCCTCCCCAAAACATCAAAAATCCACCTCCGCATTTCACAGTGGCAACGATGTACCGTAGTTTTCATCATTGGCCTTGTTGACTGACTCCTCTGTAAAAGTAACGTTCATGGGTGTGGCCAAAAAGTTCCATTTTGATCTCATCTCTCCAAACGTTGGTCCCAGAAGTTAAACGGCTTGTGTCTCTACTACTTGGAATATTGTAAGAGAGATTTTTTTTATTTTTGGTGGCATTAGTGTAGTAATGGCTTTTGCTTTTTTTCTGGAAACTCGATCATGGAGCCAAGTTTTGTGCATATTTCAGCAGAAGATGGCTTTCTTCTTAGCATCTCAAACAATTTTTGTTGGTCGACCTGATTGTGGTTTGTTTTCAGGCAAATCTCTCATTTCCCAATTCTTACAGTTTGACCACTGCCTCTCATTGGCATTCTCAGTAACTAAACACCTCATAAATGCCTTCATCCAAGCACTAAACAGTTTTTGTTATTATTCATTTTCTCTGAAATAGGGCAAAGAAATCAAATTCTGCCAGGGTATGCAAACCTATGAGCACAACTGAATTTATCTATACATACGCACGCGCACGCGCATGCGCGCGCGCGCGCACACACATACACACACACACACTGTGCAGCTTTCAAAGTAACAACGGTCTTCACTAGAGTCAACACACACAAAATCAATCACTTCACATTTGGAAAAAAAACCCTAGTTATAATTTCTTGTCCATGTCGTAAATAAAGCACATTTAAAACAGTACACAAAAACACAAAAGTGAATTTCTATGATGATTAATAATCAACTAAACCAGGAGGAAACAAAATGAACTCACCTCCCCGGTACATTTCAAATGTTACATAGCCAGGACATGACTAAACGCGACAATTACTGCATACAAATATAAAAACAACTATTTAAAAAAATACAGCAATGTGTCATGTACACCGATAAGAAAGGTTCAATGCTTCTGCACTATAAAATCAAAATTACAACATACATTTACACAAGTTGATCATTCACGTTTTCACTTGGTACATCAACATTTCTGCAGACATTCTGTTTCTTGTACATTCTGTGGAATGAATGCTAAAGCCTAGCAGGAATTACAGTGGATATAGAGCCAGACCAGATAGAGACCAAATCAAGTGTACCATGGCCACTATGAGGCATGGTGGTCTGGAAATTATTCTTTGCTCTTTTTATGTTGGGGGTCCACTAAGCGAGATGCATTCTGCTACATGTTTACCCAGAAATCATGAACTAAAAGTTCAAGTTCTGATCCCTTCACATCTTTTTCTTTCCTTTTTTTCTAAACAAAAACATTATATCCACTGCAAATCATCTGTTTTGTCTTTGCTCTTCCAATCCGGCTATATACACATCATAGATATTACATATGTACAATTAAAACAAACGTAAAAATACGAAAAGATCACCAACAAAATAATTACTATTTTTGTACTGCTGTTGCAAAAGACAGCAGGGACCAAGAAGGATGACAAAGTCGTGTGGTAAGAGTATAACAAGCAAATAGGCTATAGTTGACAAAACACTGCCTTTTGAAATAAATTAAATTAAAATAAATATAAGTGTACATGGTCAACTGTTGCTTCTCCAATCTTAATTTGAAGAACAATCTAACGGTATAGTTGAAATGTTAGACAAGCAACAGTGATTTTTACATTGAACTTCTTAGCAAAATTGTAGAGACTGATGTCTTCAAAAGTCTGATTTAAAAAAAAAATAAAAATTTCGTTTAAAAAAAAAAGAAGAAACCCAACATTGTGTCTGCATTGAAAATACATTTAACTGACCAAGACGTATCATTTTCTTTCCCTTTAAAAATGTGATTGGAAAACCCCACTAGCAGTGGTAGTCCACTTTATGTGGCCTTGAAAACGGGAAGTGAGAGGTGTACTTGTGACACCGTTCTGCACAGTCAGTAGTGGAGTGCCAAATAAAGCGGTTTTAAATAGCTTAGCAGATATTGGCCAAAAGATGGTCAAACACATGGAAACATTAGTAAACAACTTTTGAAGTATAAAATATAGATTACTATCATTACTTCAAGAATATTTTGGACAAAAAAAAGTATCCCTACTCAGGTATTCAGCGGCAGTTGCAGATTCCATCACAAAAGCAGTTTGCCATTGCGGTGAATCTTTAAAATTTTCCCAAGTCTCTGTTTTGCTGTTGCAAGTCCTTTCTTTGGACGTTTCCCTGAATACCAAAGAAACACGTGCAGCATACGTGAGAAGAGAGACAAAGATAGGGATTGTGTCGCTTCGCTCTTTGCACTTACCTTGACCGACGCCTGCCGTGCCATGACTGGCTAGCCCTGAAGGCGACGCACCAGAGAGTGAGCTGCTGTTTTGCGGAGACAAGGATGGTCGGCGTGAAGTAAGGAATACCCCCGGGGCCATGGCACCGCCGCCTCGAGGGCCACCGGGCCCAAAAGGTCCCGGCCCTGCTGTGTATTCATGGTCCAGTAGACTGGCCGAATAGTAATCCATCCTCCTGTGTGGGCTGAAGTCTGGTGCCGACTCTGGAAGGTGCGCTGGCGAGGGCGGAGCCTGATCTGCATGAACTGGAGGAGGGCTCGCAACAGGGACAGGAGGACGCACCTTTTTGGTGTACTTCCTTTTAGCAGGCTTTTGCTGCTCCTGATTCAAATACGAAAAACACAAAAAAAAGTGTCCTTGTGGTTTAATAAAAGTCAAATATGTTGCAGCTCAATAACTTTCACCGAGACATTCCATCTCGCCATTGTTTCTGCACTCACCTGCTGCGCTAGCTTGGCTGCAGCTGCTGCCAGGCCCGTTTCCACCGACGCCACTCGAGCTCCGTCTCGGGCTGGTCGGTCCTGTTTTGGAAGCGTTGGCATCACCCGAGCTGAGTAGTAAAGGCAGGGCATAAATTAGTAGACACTCAAGGATCAACATTTAAAAGGCAAACTTGAGGTCAACTCGACTCTTGCCTTTAGGGCTCCAAGGTGTGTCATCCCAGTTTTTCTTGCGCTTCATCTTGGCCTTGTTTGCATGGTCCTCTTCATCAGACTCTAACGACGGATACACTTAGAAGAACCATCAATGAAAACAGAAATTTAGTACAAAAAATCCATAAACTTCACAAGCGATACAGAACAGACCCACCAGCTATCAGTGAAAATCAACTGAAACCAAATTATATCTGTTTTAATTATGATTATTATTATTTTTATAAGTAGTTGTACTCCTTCAGTGATGAAGCAGGGCCACAATAAAGTGGGGGAGACTGGTTGTCTGTTGGAGGCTGCTCACCATATTCTGAATCTTTAAAACAGGTTCCCAGTGTCTCCTGCTCATCTGGACTTTCCTCTTCGCTAAGATGGCGGGCTGGACGCTTAATGGGCCTTTTTCCAGGTCTTTGGATGACTGCTTTTTTCTCAGAGGTCTTTTTGATCCCCCCAGTCACCCACACAGCTCGGCCACCTTTCCCCTTCACTATTCCCAATCCCTCGGTCAGTCCTCCAGAGATAGACAAGGGGGATGAGGATGAGGAGGACGACGATGAGGACGACGACGAAGGTGGGTTCGCCATGGAGAGCATGCCCTGGATGGCATCGCGAGTACTGGGAGAGGCTGGCGCTTCCTCACTGGAGGAGGGAAAAAAAGTGAGGAAATCACCTCAAAAAAAGGTGCTGGGGCACATGTGTATAACAATTTCTCATCATTATTAGAAATGTTGACCATAAAATGAAGATAGTTAGCTTAAGTATTCCAACCTGAGTGCAGAGGGGTCCAAGCTTGCCACCTGCTTGCTGGCCTTCAGTAAGTCCAGGATGCCCCCTGCCCCACCCTTCACACCATGAGCAGCCAGTGCCTCCTCATCTGTGGTGTAATCCTCCTGAGGCCAAGTGCACAAACATCCTTTAGCGAAGACAGCAACTTTAGAAGTTCTAAATCTTCATCTGAGCGATTATGCTTGATTAACTGGTGGGTGCAAATGGGGCTAAATGTTATAAAAGTGAGCAGTGGTCACAAAATGGGAACGCTTGTCAAAAATACACGTGCAAACTATGCAATAACACTGTGATGGCTAGAATGCGTGACAGCAGCAAAAACAGCTTTCTGATGGTTTTCTTTTCATTTGCTGTTTTGGAAACAAGCATGTTTCAGGCTCTTTTTTTCCCCATTCGAGAATGTATGTTTATAATTCAACTGCTTCTAATGCGCATCAGTTTACAAAAAACATTCCTCTGGTCCTGTGAAAATAACTTCATGTGAACCTTACTCGCATTTACAGACAAAAGCACACCCTGGAGCCTTGAGATGAGAGTTTGATATGTTCTGTGACCACTCAAAACAGCTCTCCATTGAAATGAATGAACGTTTCGTCGACAGTGTGGGGTATGAATGTACAAAGACAAGGTGCGGAGACTGTTCACGTTAGTCAGTGCCTTAGCCCAGTGGTCCCCAACCACCGGTCCGCAGACCAGTACCGGTCCGCAGGGCATTTGGTACCGAGCCGCACAGAAAGAACTTGCCTTAATTCCGTTTTATTTATTTCGGAATACGAAAGATGTTTTATTTTGAAAAATTACCGGATTCTCCGTTACATCCGTCTGTGTCACGCTTCACACACGTCAAGCCACGCTTCTCCGTCATGTGACCGATTACGTTAAAAACAAAACGCTGGAGCTCGCAAAATGAGTAAAAAAACTGCTGGAGATCGCAAATGACGGCGGCCTTAAAAGTATGTTCGAGACAACTGGATTAAAGTTATGGCCACAATAGCACTGTTGCTATTTCCGACATCCTACCTGTGTGAGGCGGGGGTTTTCTGCAGCAACGGCGACTAAAACAAAATTATGAAGTAGACTGGACATAAACCACACACTTGAGGTGTCATTGTCTCCTATTACCCCGAGATGGGACCGTCTGGTTGCAGAAAATCAAGCTCGGGGCTGTGGTGAGTCGTCATTTTCACGCACTTTGAATTTGCGTTGTATCGTATTTTGAAGGCATTAAAGATGACCATAGCGATCAGAGTGTTGCGGCCAGATTTGACGCTCCTTGTGTTCATTATTATATTTCGAAAACACCACAGTTTTCATGCAGCTCATACCATATTATTTTGTTGTATTATTTCCACCACACCTTAAATGCCGGTCCCTGAAAATATTGTCTGACATAAACCGGTCCGTGGGCAAAAAAGGTTGGGGACCCCTGTCTTAGCCAATCAGGATGCAGAACGCAATTCACTTTTTAAAAGCATTTAAAAAACTGCACAAAAAAAATCCGTGAAACAGCGAAGCCGCGGAAGGTGAACCGCGTTAGAGCGAGGGACCACTGTATATTAAAGACGAGGGGAAAGACATGAAGCCGGTCCAAACTACACTCAGGAGGCTGGGCACGAACCAGTGGTGAAGCAAATTGTGATGCGAATTAGCCGTAAAGACACCAAATCAGAATTCTGGCATTCAAAGCAAAAAGAATCATAGCATACATATTGTCTGTCGCGTGTATTGTCACTGAGGAACATTTGAATGGCAACACTGGAGTTTCAATATGCGTGACGTACACATATGCAGAGGTCCACGTGAGCAACAATCATTTCCTGCATAGTAGACGGAAGAGAACTATTTTTCCCCGATGATAAGTTGGGAGCCTTAAAAGCAGCTTATAGTGGTTTGTTTATTATGTCAGCACACTATAAAACCAGAGAGAAAAAAAAGTGTAGACATGTTTTCATTTTAAATGTTGTTTTGCGATTTAATGTGAATGTGCAGCTATGTCATTTCAATGCGACTGATTCTACTTTTTTCCCCCACCAGTTTTAATTTTTCTTTATTAAAACATATGCTGGCATATTATTTTAATCAGCGGCCACACTAATAGCAACTGATTGACATAATACAATCCACCATTTGATAATAATTAAATTCATATTCAACACAATTGAGTTAGTATTTCGGTGTGGCCCTCGACAACTGTTTCAGTTTCTCACATTGCCCCTTTGAACGGTGATTTGGCTCTTACGCGACGTGCCACAAGAGTCAACTTCAACATAAAAGCCCAACAAGGAATACTTTACTTGGATATTCATGCCTTATACGGCTTATTTTCTGAAGCATTCATGGTGGCTGACTCGACTCCGACTGGTGGCTGGTCTCACTGCAGTCACGCTGCCTGAGAAGCAATTATGCTTGGGGCGCAAAGGTGCACTGACTCAGTTGAATCTTGTCCACACATGACTATTTTCAGTACGCATGCATTCCTGCACACCGTTTATGTGCACCCCTTGCTATAAAAATAACCTAGCGTTCAGAAGCTCACAAGTCGAGTGTCTCATTCAGTATATCAAAGTGTATATCCACATTGATCTTACCTCAATGTCAAAGTCCACCTCTCCTGGCTCCCGGATACGATTTGGGTCGGAGCAAGGCTTGGCTCTGGGCAGCTTTCTTGGAAGACCTGAAGGCATATTTTACCACACCATATGTCACTCAGCGACACACACACACACACACACACACACACGTATATATATATATATATATACACACATACATACATACACATACATATATATATATATACATACACATATATACATATACACACACACACATATATACACATATATACATATACATATATATATATATACATACATATATACACATATATATACACATATGTGTATACATATATACAAATATGTATATATATACACACATACATACATACACACCCTCCGATATATTTACTTACCAACCTTTCTTATACCTTTTTTATATATACACCCACTGACTATATATATATATATATATATACACACACACACACACACACACACACACGCATATGACAAAGTGATCGCCAGGCGTGAAACAAGCTGTTTCGCATCATAGTTTGTGAGTCAAAATGTGCATTTTGTACATCATCCAAACACATGAAACAGCAAAACTGAGAATCTTTTTTTTCCCTAATAATCGAACCGCCGAGAAGGTTCCAAAAAGCTTCACTGAGCTGGAAGCACGTCACCTACGCACTGGCAGGTGACATCGAGGCAAGCTCGGTCATACTTATGTCGCACCAGCTAGTTACCAACGATCTTTGGCTGGCTACTCGTGTGGCTAAAGACATTGCAGAGTCGCTCCTAAATCAGTAATCATCGCCTCCATGGTGGCGAATAAGCTACACGTCTAAGAAATATTGTCCCGATGGGGTGATGAGGAAAAATGGAGAAGTGATGCTAATTGCTCAGCTAACCTACAATTCACATGGAATCATGAAACACCAGAATTAAATGTTTGAGTGATGGAGTACACTTTTGACGAAGTCTGGCTCTAACCACACTAAAGCAGAGATCATATACATTTGAACAGTAAACTAGCAGGCAATTTAATTTAAGTGCTTTATTCACCACACTACTCAGGACTGAAACTGGATATGAATTATGTTATGGCGTACACCAGGGAGCAGTGGCCTGTAAGCTTAAAAGAATATAGTGTAAAAATACTTATATCATTGTGTTTTATCAGCTTTCACAATATTTCCGAGTATTGATTTTGACTTCTCCGGTCTGCACAGTGTGTGTGTGTGTGTGTGTGTGTGTGTGTGTGTGTGTGTGTGTGTATATTCTCAGAATTACATTACAGTAGATCCTTTTTTTCCCCAATTTAGCTTTGCTAAAAGACCATACAACCCATTCAGAACTAGGTTAAAAATTTTACTATGCTGTACTAGGTGTAGTGCCTTCCCATCTCACCGCTGATTTTCTTCTTCTTGCTTGATCCAGTAAGCTTGCGGCGTGGAGGCGGGGTCTCATCTATTTGGAGCTCGTCCTCCGATTCCAGGTCAGAGAGACTGGAACCCTCCATTGCAAGGTGCCGGTAGTTGGCAGCCCCTCCTGCACCATTGGTACCCGCTTTCTTGCTGGAGTTGTGGGGTGAGCACAGGAGATCATCAACACAGCAACAAATTAAAAAAGTTTACCCTTGAATTTTCCCATTGGTCAGCACAAGTTTCAACTTGCTTTTGTTTAACTTTCCTTCAAAGCCCTCTAAAGGCAGCTCCAACTGAAAAGATGGAAGGTTTGCAGAAAAAAAGGCTAAATCATGCTTCCACTTTTGAAACATTTAAGATGACATTATTCTTCTGTGTACCTTGTTCTTGCTTCTGGACTTGCCAGGTTGGATTTTTTTCAGTGTATGCTTGGTGTGGATCTCAAGCAGGTCCAACTCTCCTGCTTCTGTCTTAAGGAGACCCTTTTGGTTCTTCTTTTTGGGTCCTGGTGGCCCCAGACCTGCAATCACATCCTTGGGTTTGACGCCTTTCTTCTTTCCAGGGGGGCGGCCTGAATTCTGAGAGGTGGTCAAGGGGGCTTTTGAGAGCGGCGAGCCAGGAAATTGTGGCCCAGTGCGGCCAATGTTTTGTTGGAAAATGTCCTATAAAGAGAACAGGGAGCAAATAAGGTCATACTATACTATAAATACAGCTGAAAGAGAGAGGAACCTCCCCCCAAAAAAACAATTGCTCATTCCAGACCATAAAAATGGCCATGTTACCTCAACGAGACGGATTTCCTTAGCAAGGTCCTTGACCAGCGTCTGCGTATTGATTGTTTCTGGAATTTCCACTTCATGATTGCCCAGCGCCTGTGTGTGGCAAGGTACAGTAATCAACTCAAGATTGCAGATTGCTCCATGCATAATATAATGTGCACAACGACACTCTTCAGGGGTCACCTGAAAATACAAAATGGATAAAAAGGTACTAAATCGAAATACGCCACTTCATCCTAAGGATGCAACACAAGACCAATATCGCAATATTAAAATTGCCCCAATATCGTCGTCGTCATGTCACGATATTAAAAGCGGCAAATCTGTTAAACAGGCCAGGTTGTTTTACATTTGAGCAGTTCCAGCACCCTCTGGTGAGGTTTTTAGTGCAGCTTAATTTGAATTAGGCATGTTTTGACCACCTAATTGCCAGATGAAGGGGAACATAGCACATTTGAGTTCCTCCAAAAATTGACGTGATTCACAACGTGTGTGGATTGCCAAGTGCATCTCCATCAAAAAGCACGACTTTTGTCCCAGTTGAGACCAACAGAGCATTGTGATATACAAGACAATGATACTTTGTGCCACTGAGCCAATAGGAACACCTGACAATTACCAAGCCTATTTGTCATTGCTGTTATGTACAAATGTACACTATACTTTTTTTTCCCCCAGGGTGAGATTTTTTTTCTTTTCCCTAATATCGTGAGTTTTTACACAGTACAGCCAACCTTCCCACAATATCGTGTTAACATAGTATCGTGAGGTTCATAGTATGATGTTTGGATATCGTTACATCCCTACTTCATCCTGCATCATGAAAGTCATGTTAGTTACCTCTTTCCTGGTCCAAGTCCGGAAGGCATTATTCAGTGCTTTTGCGCCATGAACAAGGTAAGTGGCTGGGTGTCTGCGATTTTCTCTCAAACCTTCCAGATACAACATTGTATGTTACAAAAATAAACATCATGAAAAAAGGGGGGGTTGCACATTTCTATATTACCTCTGAAGGTATCAAGAAGGTGTTTCCCAACATACCAGCACACTGTCTCAAAGTTGGGAAACTTAAATAAGTCTGCTGTGCTCAACCGCTTCTCTAATTCATATGCCCTTAAAACATAAGCAGAGGAATATGTGCTTATTACATGATGACCAGTTCAACATTCCTCTTCACTCCCTTCTCTTGTGTAGTTTGTAGAGGGGACGTGTCCACTAACAGAGTGCGTGAATGGCACAAAAGGTTTGAGGAAACTAACCGAAGCTGCATGTCAATATTAAGACTATGCAAAAAGTTTCCCCCAAAGGCCAGACAGTCCACTGGGGTCAGCACTGCATGAATCCATCCTGGAACAAACATGTTATCAATTCCATGTTCACAAGTGCTAGGAAATGGTTGGTTGATTGAATACAATGAAAAATGCAGTATAGAAGTGAAAGAGTCACTTGCTCTTCTTACCTGTTGGAATGAACAAAGTGTTTCCTTGTTTGACAGAGCACTTGTAACACATGTCAACCTGGTCTCCAAAAAACATCTCGTTCTGATTGGACGAGGAATTCCAGCGCTCAAAGAGCGCCAGATTGGCTGGTGTGGGGGATATTAGGTAGAATATTTTCTCCCCCTGAATGAACAGGACAATTGGAAGGCTCTTGAAATGAAAACCAATTCAATGAATCAAAAATGTTCAGTCACAATTGTCCTCACCCGTAAAACATGATACCAAACAGAGGTGCCTCCAAAGTCAATGTGAAAGTCTGTGTAACTATCCTTCACTCCCATGAGGCAGTACTTCTGCACATTGGGCCGCTCAAACACAGACTCCTCAGGCCAGAGGTTCTCCACCCATGACAGCTTCCTCACTATCTTTGGAGTCTCCACGAGGTTTGAAAGCCTGAGATAAAACAAAAGAACAATTGCTGTAAAACACTTTCCCTTGCATCTACTCACTTTAGCGCTGGGCCATTTACCCATTTCATCATCAGAATCATTTGTACACTGTCAATCGCTCGACAAGAAGTGGAAAGCATTCACTGAGTCAATGAGGCTGACCATTGCCTAAGACATGTAGCCCATTTAGACGTTATACAAAAGCACTGACAATAGGGCTTCTCACACGGCACTTGGGTTTCCTTGGTGTGCAGCGCTTAGCAAGGGCAAAAGCACTCCGGTGTACACTTGCCTATATTGTAAGCAGTGGCATAGTGCGGATGCTTTTCCCAGTCTATTGCTCTGAGCACTCTGAAATTACTCCGCCTAACCCTCTGAAATATTTTGCTGGTATCACACACTCATGTGTGCAACTGTAAATGTGAAAAGCATGTGAGAATTGGAAGGGGTTAAGTCTTCAATTCATACAGTTTGACGCTTCATTTTATTATGCTAGTTCAAAATAAATTAATTAAAAAAAAGATTAAGAATCATGTTTATATTCATGTTTATTTTTAGAACCTGGTTTCCGAGAACTCCAGGCTGATGACATTTAGTACTCGGTCTCTGTTGGGGCTGTTGTAGTACTCAGCAAAGTCACCGAGCCGCATCTTCAGGTCACACTGGCGAGACACGTCGATCACGTCAATCTCCTTGTCCGAACCTGCATGCAGGCATAATTTCGTAATTAGGTCTGCCTTCTTGTTGAGATGTTTGCACAAGTGACTTTAGGTTCAAATATGGCATGTCATGAAGTCTGACCAGATTGTGGTCCAGAGTGGAAGTAATACTGTATGGGGAGAGTCTGAATTACCAATGTAGTGTTCGACGTCGCTGACACAGAACGATGCTGGCGGCAGAGTCATGCCAAGCCCGTCTCGCCTCAACACCATGACAGGAACACTGAACGAATGCTCTTCAAGAAACTCCACTGTCAGTTGGGCCCCCAACGGCTTCAACAGGACTTCATCTGCACTGTGAACGAAAACAAGGCCTGTTTACAACCCGTTTAATTCGTGATGCCCTGATCATATTGTGATGGATGGATTCATATTTTTAACACCCGAGTCTGAATGCAAGTCTTTGGTTGAAGTATCTGCCGATACTGAGTCCTGATACGACACTTAGGCAATGCATTAAGAAAAAGAAAGAGAGCGCATGAGAGGGTTCTAAAATTAATATAGAAATATACATACAGGCATGTATATATGCAACAATTTGTGTATATATATATATATATATATATATATATATATACACACATATATATATACTCATTCTCTCTCCTTTATATATCAAGTTTCTCATACATTATAATTGGTATATATATATATTTTTTTTTTTAATGGAATATTCCACCAAATCAGTGCCAGTTGCTTTTTGTAACATTCTCAAAATAAAATCCAAGTTCTGTGTGTCTTCCTTTCTTTTCTTTTTTTCCGTTGATGATACATAACTCAAACTGTTTATTGGTCCATTGGAGATTTTCACTGTTTTTGTATTGAAACTCTTAGTGGGGTTTTTTTGCATTAAAATGATCAAATACAGGAAATAGAGCCATGACATTTATGCTGCTTGAATGTTAACTTTAAAAACAATACACATCAATGTGGAGGACGCTCTATATAAATTTATTTTTATGTAATTGTCTGTGCATGCAAATGGCACCTCAAAGAATGAGGGCATCCTCTGTTACAGTGCAATTGATATGTCCATTGCTAGACAATACGTTTACATCGTTATTTATCGGATTGTGCGGGCTAAAATGACCAGTCCACGAAATGCAACCGGTGGGGAACAAGTTTGCTTGTCACCAAATGCATGACGCTCGTTAAACTTCTGTTTGAAGTTAGGTCGTTTTGACGTGTCACACCTTTCACGAACCTGTTTGTCAATCTCTCAACTCTTTTTATATTAAAAAAAGAGAGGGTCTAGTACGTTCACTCTCGGATGTAGCTTTTTTATTCTTTTTAAACGTCTGACAACCTTTAAGCACAATTTATTGTTAACTAGCAATAGACTGAAGTGTTTTTTTCAAGGCCGATAAAATACCGATTGTTTGGAATTAAGAGGCCAGTGACCGGTATTTTAGAGCCGAGATTAATTTGCAGTAAAAGGGAAAATCAAAATACCGGTACTTAAAAAAACGGGTAACCAAACCCAATTCTAACACTTTTTTGAAATGATTTAATTATGTTTGTTAAAATAACTTTTCAAATAGGTAAAAAGTTAAATGCTTTTCTTTTAATTTTAGGCATCTAGACACTGTTTGTTTTAAAATTATAACAAAAGGCTGCTAAAGCTTCCAGGCTCATCAGCATGTCTCGAGTTCATCCATCCATCATCCGAGCTGCCTTATCCTCACGAGAACAATTAGTTTTTCTTTTTTAGCTTTTTTTTTCTCTCAACGGTAAATAAAGTTTTTCCAAGATTTCAATTCATAGAGATTGTACCTGGGAAAAGTTCGACTTCGTAGCTCCCTCACAAATTGTGGACTGCCCGTCTTCACCAAACGGCTGGGGTCTCTTACCCCGGTCGTGGCTCCATCTGCTTGCTTGTTGCCTCCACGGCGTTTACGCACTGTCAGTATGGAAAAGAGAGCCTGAATATTATGACAAATATTTGCATCTGCATGTGTGGTAGTAGTTCCAGCAGACTGTTTGTTTATTGTTGTGACTTAGATGAAGATCAAAACACATTTTATGACCAACTTATGCAGAAATCCAGGAAGTTGCAAAGGGTTCACATACTTTTTCTTGCAACTGTAAATGTGTGTCATAGTTGAACACTTCCACATGGCAGAAAAGGAAAGTTTGACTTACTGACAGATGGTCCATGAGTGAGCTGACAATTGGGGCAGTGATAGAGGTCTATCTCTGTTGCTTTCTCCTCCTCTACTCCAACACAGCTATAAAATGATAAAGAACAAAACAACAAAAAAGGTTGCACTGCATACACCAGTACTAAAAAAGAATTTGTGAATTTGTGAATACTGAACCATGAATGAGGGATTATTGTACATACGATCCCACAAGAAAGCACTGATGCAACAGATTTAGACATCGACGGGGGTCGCAAAAACACCAAGAGTAGCAACGTACGCTCACAAAAATGATGAATTTAGTTAGAATGGCCACTTCAACCCGTGTAGAACAAACCCAGAATTTTGAAAATCTGATTGTGGGTTCCAGTAAAAAAATATTTGTTTTGTGTTGAAACTAATGGCCATTTGTGGAATGTGATAGCGCCTATACAGTATAACATATGTTTTAAAAAGAAGAAGAAAAAATGACTTCAAATTAGACGAAAACAGTGTCATGTTATTATTTATCAATAAAATGAAACAATTCTTTTGTTTTGTCTGCTACTCTGGAAACTCCTCTGAATGTCTGGCAAATTTCAGTTAAAGTAGGCACCAATGAGCCTCTATGGAAGAAATTCCAAGAGGTTCTGTAAATCAACTCGACAAGATTACAAGTGTCTCTTGCCCTAAAAAAACAACAACAAAATCCAGAACCTCCTTAAATCATGCTAATTATGTTTGAGAGGGAGCATTTGAAGTACTCATTCCATGTTTTTTTACAGTAGTTGTTGGAAGGAACAATGGCAGGATAAGAGTTGATTAAGAGTTGTAGATTGATGGCTAATAAGTTGTAGAATGATGAATAATGTTCTGTTACTCAAATTAGCGGCTGTAGGGTAAACTGAGAGGCAATAAATATGATCATGGCAGTAAGGATTTTTTTTTTTTTTTTTTTAAATACTGACCTTCCATGGAACCAGTCTTGACAAATGTCACACTCGATCATGAAGCGAGTCACATCATATGGCAGGCGACACAAGCAGTACACTGGTACAGAAGCCATACTGATCATGTGTGTTTATATTTGGGAGAAGCTAAAAAGCAAAAACTCAAATTCAAAAGGCTCAATTGTCAAATGTAATTCTGAATATTTATGTGCTGTAGTAAGGTTGGAGCTGGTGAAGACACATCCAATTGGGTGCACCAGGAGAGCTGAAATACACGCACAGAAAAGAAATCGATAACTATGTTAAATTAAATAATCGTCATGGGTGGACACAGCAAGTATGTTTGAACGTAAAAGTCTCGATAACATAAAATATGGTCTAAGTTATGGAATTGCATACTGTCATTAACTTATGGCATAAAATGTAACGTTAGACGAAGTATATCATACTGATCAAAGGTGATTACTGTTGCTACGTTGTAAATCCAAAATGAATGGTTGTTACTTGTAAACACGCTCCGGATCGGAACGTTGTGATGCTAGCTCGGTACGTGAGCTAGCGATGTTGCTAATCTACCAACATTTGCTAAATCCATGCAAAATTGTAATACATTCCCGAGGCCCATCCAACTATCCGCTTCAACTCTCCAACTCAAAACAAACGTGAGCGGTAGTTTATACAAGGCATCTTAAAGCTCAAAGTATTGTTGAGCAACTCACCGAACTGGCGCTCCAGCGAGGCCGAGCCTGCAATGGCCGCCGTCGGAGCAGTTGACAACCCTACGGCAGATCAGGGCAACTGCGGCCGAACTATGCAGCGGACTTGATTATTAAGAGTTGGCTTCGCCACATTTTTATGTGGCTACTAGCGACTGAGAAATGCCCCAACAGGAACGTCGCTACGCATCCAAAATGGGAATTTGGAAGCGAACCGCAACAACACTTCAGCTAGATGACAGGGGAGTTCAAATGCACTGACGCCATTTTCAAAGACAACAGCGTCACCGTTGTTCATCACTGTTAACGCGAGTGCGAACAATAAAGTTTTCCGCTGTCAAAATGTCTTCGCAGAGGCGAGTAAAAAAACAACTAAAGTAATCAATTTAGCGCAAAGCACGTACCTGTTGTTTAAAATTTAGGTGTATTGAGGCAAAATGTAGCTGTAGCTATCGTTAAAGTGATTGCTACTTATTCTTTACAACAGCAAATATCCAACGAACAGTCCCGCAAATGACTTTCCCGTTGTACCTCTCTCCTGCTCCCCTGATGACCAACTCAAATACAACAGATAAAATCCATCTGTTTGCATAACTTCGTTGATATGCCTTCCTTATAATGGTTCAAACAGTTTTATCACAGACACGTTGTAAATCCTCTAGTCTTCCAGAGGGAGAGAGGAAAAAAAAATTCAGCTACTTGAATCAGCAGAAACGGCATCTGCAAGCTAATTGCTCTGGCTATGGGCACACCTAGTTTTAAGTCCTCTCTTTTATTTTTTCTTTTTAATGTTTTGAGTCACTCAAACCAATGTCACCCTGATACTCGCATTATCAATATCATTATAATCTCTTGAAGACAGAGCAAAAAGTGATAAAAGAAATATTAAGTACACCCCCACCCGACCCTACAAAAAAAAGGTTCCAAAATTTTGCCCCACTTCTGGATCAACATATTCACGGTACTGAAGCAGTGATTCTCAAACCATCAAAGGAGATGGGTTTTTTTTTTCCCTAAGGACTCCTTCATAATCCGAACACCAATCAAGCAAATGTAAATGCCAAAATAGTTTCAAGTTCCCTTTTTGAGAAAAAGGTGCAATTTTAGGAAAACAAATCCATATCTTTCAAAGAAAAAAGTTGTAACTATCAATCAAGTTTTTTTCTTGATTGATAGTAATTCAAGGAAAACACTCGTAGCGTCTACACGAAAAAAAAAGTACTTAACGGGAAAAAGGCAAAAGGTTTTCAGTGACACCAAATGATTTCAGCCTGGTCACATATTTGCCTCCCTATGATCTCACGCAACTTTACAAAACAAAAATGTATATCGTACTATACAGTCAAGTGCAATCACGATTTTGTCTCAATATACTCCCAGATGTAATTCCTCAGTGTGAAATATGGACCCATACCTTTATTATTCTGTTGTATGAAGCACCTGTCGATGTTAATTGTATCTTCTGCCATCTAATGGAAGAGCATTTCATTGTTCTGCCTGTCACTTTACGTCAATGGCATATAAACAGTCACATTTGTGAAGAACAAACTAAAATGACAATTATTAAATGGGGGGAAAAAGTGAAAAAGTAGGATCTTCCACATGCAGTACAATAAGTGCAACGGTACAGTGATTAGAATCACTACAGTATACTATGAGAATATTGTTATAATCTTACTAATATAAAGCAGTATTTTTCAAGAAATTCTGCAATTTTTCAAGAATAACAATAATCTATTCAGGAATTATATAAAAAAAAAAAAATCCCCAGAAGTTTTTTCCCCTTTCTTTCTTGTGTGGCCAAAACTGCTGGATGTAATTGTGCAGTTCAATGTTCAAAATTGTACAGTTCAATGCTCAAAATGTATATTCTGCAGTACAAAAAAAAAAAACATATTGAAGATAATTTTGAAATATGGAAATACGCCAATAATGACTTGAGAGTGTACTGCATGTTTTGAATGCTGAAAAAACATGTTTGTTTTGTTGATAAGATCAGCTTTAATACAATGTATAATGTAATGATGATGCAGTGGATAGTTGTATGTTGTTCTTATAAAAACAGAAAAGAATGTGGATGTTGGACATCATTTATTTGTATTAGTTACAAAAGATAAATAAAAGCAAAAGTTGATTGTGTTACAATGTACAGAGGGCAAATCACTAGCAACATACTTTTTAGGATTTCCCAAATGTGTTTCTTCATCGTTGGTTCTCAGTCATGCATGAACGGGACTCACTTGACTTTGATGGCATCCAATCGGAGAGTGAAGTCAAGAGGTGTGATGTTTGTGTGAGGAATTAAGTTCGACAAGGCAAATATTTTCTGTTTCAGGACAGAAAGATGTATTAAAAAAAAAAAAAAAACACGGCGAGTCCCATGGAACACGTATGAGAACCAGCGTTTTGATTTGTTAAGATCACAATATTCTAATGAAGGGTCTCCATTAAAAAATACAAAAATAATATTTTTCTCTTTCTCTTTTTTTTTTAAATTTTATTTTATTTTATTTTTTTTAGATTTTGGGAACACAAAGCCAGCTCCACATTGTGCAATGTGACAATCAAGCTTGTGGTATTCAAGTTAGTATCAGACATGACTGCGAAGGATCCAGAAAATCACCGGTCAATTCTAAACGATGCCCAAAGTAACCCAACTATTTGATCTTCTCAATGTTTGATCTTCTGAATGAAGTCCAGAAACACCGCAAAGTTTCATCCTGCACGGCTAAGTATGCTGCTAAGCCAGTCCAGTGTAATGCATCTGCTTGCATACTGCTGCACAGAACATGAGTGCATAACATCGAGGGCTGGGTTGTCCTTCATAATGAACCTTTGGCAGTGTGTATTCAACACATAAATTGCCCACAGATTATTTTATGACAGTTTGCGGTCAACTACACCAATTAACATTAAAAAAGAACAAAAGAAAGTTGGTTGAGTCATCCTGGAGAGGCTCATTTGAGCACATGAATGATTCCATGCGAGTCAAAAGGAGAAACACGACTTACACACTGAAAAATGCAAAAGGCAAAATGTGCTAATCTAAACGAGCTGCCAGGTCACAATAACTTGGCAGTTGCTTTACGGTTTGCACTTGACTCCAAAGCACGTCACCACAATATTTGATGATATGACAGCTAATGTGGAAGGAAACATTTCTGCTGTGGGTTTGCTTTACCAAGCCGATGAATTTCACCAGCAGCTGATTGTGCCTTGGGGCGGTCACATTAGATGTCAAATTGCAGAGGCTTGAACCGTTTTTATTGAGCAAATTCCCCGATGAAACGAAAATGTTTCTCACACATTAGCTGCCATATGTTGGTCATTTCTGATCACAGGGTCGAGTGTTTGATGTGTGTGTGTTTATGTTGGATTGACATGACGTTAGCAGTTGATTGAATGCGATACCTGTGATCACTCACAATGCTAATACACTACCTGAAAAACATTGCCAGTACAGTGAATAAAGGTTTTGCGACTCTGGAATGAATGGTTCTGAATAGATCAGTCATGGCAATGGTAGAGCTTTATGCATTGTTTATCTTTGTGGTTGTGTGCATTGCCATGCTTCACACCGAGAGCCGCTCCTCAAATTGCGGTTAGCCGCACTCGAAAGCAATTTTTAAATGCATCATTGAGCAGGGTGCAACTCTGTTTTAATCATGAGATGCCAAACTTACAGCACCAAATCAACATATCATCGCTGTCGTGCGGAATCTGATAAGTCACATTATTTTTAGGCATTATTAAAAGGATACATACTTCACATACAGTATGTACGCCATTTGCAGCAATAAAAGGTTCATATTTTGTCTATAATTAATTTGGTAAATTAATTATTGTCCAGGTACATATAATACCTGTTCATTGAGCAGACCACTAGACAATTGTCACATTTTCTCGGGAATTCCTGTGGGATGGGACTCAACTTTACATCGAATCGCGAGATTGGGACAGTACAAAATAAAAAGTTCACAGGAGCAGACGGGACCCAAATTATACAGTGGGAACAAATAGAGAAATGCACGAAATAGAGAGTCAGTGAGGAAAAAGGGGGTAACAAACTGTTCAATAAATGAGTCACATACCTTTTATTTTTTTAAAATGTAGCTTGACCTCAAAAATGGAAGTGGTATGGGAGTGGGAGTCATGCTGAACGGGAACAGGACTGGATAGGAGTTGTGAATTTATTTTATTTTTTTTGGGTGGGGTCCTAAAAGTGGTGAATTTGGAGTTGTGCCGATTCCGCCGGACAGTGACAATATGTTGTAAAGGTGCAGTATCATGACGCTTTCCAAAATGGATAAAATCAAGCCAAGATGTCACACACCTACATGACAATTTTACATACAAAAGCAGCATTGAACACCAAAAGTAACATGAGCTGGGATGGTATTAATTACATGTAATTACCCTATTTTTCAGACTCGTCACACTTTTTTTTTTTTTATAGTTTAGCTGGAACTGTGACTTATACTCAGGTGCAAATTGTTTTCAGTTTATTATTATCATCAGCGCTCGGACTGTCACCCCAAATCCCTGTTCTCTAATCGTGTTGACGTTCTTTTAGTGCACCAACCGGCAAGAAATGGCTGAAGTAAAAAGTAAAATATTACAAAAAAACGTGACTTCAGAGGGACTTTTAGTCTGAAAATACGCAAATTGGAGTTTAGCGCTGGGATTGATGAGCCACACAGCAGAAATTCTTCATTGTTGCTTTTGGTAAATCTGAGTTGCACAACTGGAAATAAAGGCTATTCTGGAAGCTGCTAACTTTTTTTGTTTGTTGGTTTTGTTTTATGGTCCACTGAAGCAATTTGTGCTTGAAGCCAACGGTTTGAAAAGTTTCATCACTTCACTTTTACAAAAATATTTTATGACATACAGACAAATCATGACAATACATGCTGATCAATTTCCATGATCATTACTAATTGCACTTTTAAAATTGATAGTCCTTTCACCGCAAGCATTGACAAGTGGAAACAAAACATGTCATCAACATATATTTTCTCTGTTTCGGGAGGTATGATGATGATGTTTGGATAAGTAAATGTTTGCCGGGCATGCGTCACAAATTCCCTGCCACACAAACAAGTGAAAAACGAGACCCATGCGTATGACTACTGACAAAGCTCAGGTGATGCGTTCAATGTCACCTTCAATCTGATCATACTGGAACCTCTCAGATCCACATTCACACTCCATTGCGTCACTCTCCGATGCGGTTAAAACCCCCTCGTGTGTAAGTCCACCTAAGACTGGATTTACAAGGCAGGGCCGAGCGCCCATTTAGGGATTAGTGCCAATTTTGAAAATATAACCTGGGCAGCAACAACCAACAGGTCCACAATAATAAATTCAAGTAACACAAAGAATAAATATTACATTGTATTTAGTTGGCCTGAACTGATTCTTGCAGTCACTGGTTTAAATGAAGATAACCTCAACAGGTTGCCGGTGGCAATTAAGATGCTTTTATTTTTCGAAGGGAGCATATTTACACCCTATTTAATGGTCTATGTTTTCGCAGTAGTTTCCTGCTGTGTATCGACCTGTCGATTTCCTGCCTAGTCTTGTAAAATGAGTTTAAAATTATACACAAGTGTTTTAGGGGGCATATTTCTGAGTATGTATGTATACAGTTACTTAAAACGATTGATGAAGGCAATTCTAAATATTTTTAAAGGGGTGGGTCAGGTCCTCCCTTTTTCCCCTGGTATTTGCGACATGGGCTCACTCTCCATCATCTGCGGATAGCAGAAGAATACTGTAGTGTAAATCCAGCCGAATACTCCAAATGGATCTGTGCTACATCCTGCTGCCACTCAGTTATTGCTTTTCTGGTGCCTTTTTTTCACAAATATACCAACCTTGGTTTCATTCCTGTCCCAGAGGAAGCGTGGAGGCAGGGGTGTCTGTGGGGTGATTCTTTTTGGCACTGGAAGGTACAGCAGCTTTCAGACAGGAGGAGGAGGAGCAGCAAGTTGAGGATGAGGAGGAACAAGTGCCCAATGCCCCCCCACTGGCAACGCTGCTATCCGCGGGCGCAGAGGGAGTGTCGCCAGGCGGCGAGGACACGGCCGTCAGAGAGGCGGCGGCGCGGGAAGGCAGCAGCGGTTGGGTTTGATGTGACGAGCCGGGCAGCTGGACAACAGCCGGCGTGTGCGCTAGAGACTTCGGCCGTATGGGGGCTTGTGGCTGGATTGGGGTTTGCGGTCGGGGCTGATGATGTACATGCTGGCCCAGCGGAGACTGCTGAAAGGTCATCTGCTGCTGGAGGTGTAAACTGGGCTGCATTTGTGGTACTTGGGCCGTTTGCGCTTGCGGCTGAGACCCGGGGGGGTTCGGAAGGCCTCCCCCTGCCGTGTTCTGGGGAAGGGCTGACACAGGTAAGCTGGCAGCGGCCAGGGGTACCTGTGGGTTCAGTGGGACCAACGGAAACCAACCCTGTGAAGCCACCTGTTCGGGGAAAGACATCTTGAGGTAATGTTGCTACTGTTTGCTCTGTATGCTGGTGCGCCAAACCAAGCATCCTTCTGTACTCTATTGAGGGCTGCACAATTAATCAAACTTTAATCATAATCGCGGGTTTGGTTGCCACAATTAAATTAACCAGATCTGCTGCATATATAATAACAAACGCAGCCTGCAGCGGGAGCCTCAGTGGATTCAGAAGAGAGAGCCATGTCAAGTGAATAAAATACAGCTAAAATCAGAGACGAGGAGAATCATAATGAGGTGCTAGTGCCTGGAAAGTGATCAAGGGTCCTTCTGTACCCTATATCTGTTGTCTGGACTTCGTGAGTGCACATTTATTGCATATTGATTCAGTCAGCCCTTTGTAATTTCTAAATTAAATAATAATTTTTTTTGGTAGTTATTTAATATTTTGTCTCTTTTCAAGTGTCATTTTGCACTGAAAACTGTTTACAAATGGTAATGAGAATAGAAGTAATGCAATCAAAATACAGATGATATACTTGACATAATAGACAATCGTGATTAAAAATCATAATTACAATATTGATCCAAAAGAATTGTGACTATCATTTTGGTCCTAATCATGCCAAACAGCACCCGGACCATAGTTTAGCCACCCCTGACTTCACAGCGACTCCGCTATCCACATGCTTACTGACGATCAAGTCCAAATCTCATGACGTTCAAAGGTGTAGTGCTACCAATTTAATTTTAAATGTTTGTCATGACAATCCTGAAGGAGCAACAAAACCTATTGCAGGCAAATATTCAGATTTTTAAACTACCTCTGTTTGTAACTGGGAGTTTTCATGAGAATGATGATGAGCACAGACCATTTTTTTCTTTGTGTCTCAGAGTACGAATGGCTTGGATTCATTTTAGTGTGTGTGTGTGTGTGTGTGTGTGTGTGTGTGTGTGTGTGTGTGTGTGTGTGTGTTGGTGGTACCTCATTTGGCTGGGTCCAGCCTCCCAACTCTTGCACCTGCTGAATGTGCTTGATCTGATTAAGAGAAGGCTTGGGCATGTTCTGGCCCACTGCCTCCTTTGTCCAATTGTCAAGCAACGTGTGCAATTCATCAGTGAAGGTGCTCTTCCTGGCAGGGCTTTGATCTGCACAACAAATGAAGCATGCAGACACAATGATGGCTTCCTGTCATTAAGCGCCCAGATAGTTGACTTCCTCCTTTTGCCATAAAACCACTGCTATGACAAACTTCTGAAACTACTACGGCCACAAATCACAGTACCACACAAAGATGGGGGACTCGTGTCGCATGACTTGGACTTGAGACGACTTGAGTCGTTGATTGTATTACTTGCTTGGCAAAACCTTCTGAAAGGCGCGACTTTGACTTGAATTCAATGACTTGCTAAGTCATTGCGGGCGGCATGGCTCAGGGTAGAACGGGAGTCTCAACCAACCCAGAGATTGTGGGTTGTCAAAGTGTCCTTGAGCAAGATACTGAACTTCCAATTGCTCCTGATGCTGCGCCATCAGTTTGTGAATGTGAAATCAGCTAGAAGTGCTATGAGCGCCTTCATTGGTGGAAGTGAAAGACCATTTACCATTCTGTTTACATGAAAATCTCTCTCTCTCTCTCTCTCTCTCTCTCTCTCTCTCTCTCTCTTAATACACGGTTTAAGCATACAAGTGGACTCCACTTTGAGCTGCTTTTCTGGACGTTAGCATGTCTGCCATATTTGATGAGACAGGGCCCCGCAAATGAATGTAAATCAACTTGATTTAAACTTCATAAAGCGACACCCAACAAAGTGCACAATGTTAATGCCTCTCATTCACCCATTTACAGAGATAAATAGATTTGGCAAACAGATTGGTACCAAAAACATTTCTTATTTTTACATAATGATGCAGTTTCTAAATCTGATGATTACAGTACGTTTATTCCCATACACAGTATAACGATTCAATATTTATGGTCACAGTTAGATATATTTCTATCTGTAAAGACTCATGCAAACGTTCGTTAAAAAAAGAAACACTTTTCTAAACAGTCTATGTACATAAATTAATTGTACACTATTGTTTAATTTTTAGAGACGTAAATATATTTCCGGTGTGTGCGTTTCATTTTTAGTACTACTGTATAAATGTACTGTATTTGTTTGTGTTTTGATCTGTACAATATATTTTTACAACTCCAGTATATATTGTGACAGAAAAAGATTGAACATGACTTGACTTAAGACTTGCTTAAACTATGTACCGACTTGACTCGACTTGAGGTTTTTCTTTTCCCCCACTGTAACTTGACACTTTGGTTATGGCTTGAGACTTGGACACAAGTGGCTTACTCCCACCTCTGGTGGCATACCTCTTTTGACAGGCAATGAGGAACGATCCTTGGAGCTGCAATGAGGAGGTCCTCCACTCTGCTCCGTACCCGAAAAACTGCTCGACTGCTGGAATGCTGCACAGGGAGTACCAAAAATAATGACACAGCGAAAACCAGCGAGAAATCATGAGCACAGCCAATGTATCTACCAGCATGTGTGACTCCGTTGTTATCCATGTGAGAGTGAGGTCGCGGCCGCAGTTTGATTTTGGCTGGCCTGGGTCGCCGAGGGGAGACAGGAGGGGGCGCTGCGGGAAGGGTGGGGCTCCGAGACAAGCAAGCAGGAAGACTTTGCCTTTGGTCTTTTTGGGAACGAAGCTGTCTGTACAGCTCTTGCAACTCTCGGTTCTGCTGGGCTTGAAGCGACACCACTTCTTTGATGTGCCTGAATGTCCAAAACGCAGTCAATGTGTTGTATTAAGCTCAGACATTAAGAGTTGCCATACCTGTATATCAATTACGCTTGGTGGGAACATGTTTTTTAAAAAATGCTTATCTTCTGCTTGCATTTTTATGGTAATAAATAACGTAATAAAATGTTGCTGAGGTAATGTAGAAATAATACATAATCAGTGGAATGCTTGCATCTCCCAAATGTCCACTTTGCAGGAAATAAAACAAAAAACAAAAAAAAAAAACAAAACAAAACACAGGTTTCCAATCCCCTAACACCCCGTCACTCGAGTTGGTAGTGTAACTTTAATTTCTATCATGAACCCTTGCGCACCAATATCAGAATCAAGTTGAATCACTAATTTAATAGGCTAAATCAAGCAAAAATCACTGCTTTATTACACATCAGCAGCAGCAGGCGCGCATGTCAAAATATGTATTAACGTGATACTTGACAAGAGCAAATGACTGTGGTTCCATATCTTCCCAGACATCTGGGATAGCAGGCCCGCGATGGATGGATGGATGGATACACAGGTTAAAAATGTGCCTTCTGTCATCTGGTGGAAGAACTTTCGAGTGTTCTGACTGTTACTATATATGTGGTTGGCATGGATTGATTCACAAAACATTTTGGCGGGGTGGAGAAAATAATTGACAGTGGACAATTTCCCGTAGCACACTTGACCATCTCTCATGGGACACTAATGTGCCACGGCACACTGGTTGGGAATCTCCGCGTTAGACAGTTCAGCATCCAAGACTCATTTGTTCTCAAGCTTTTTTCAACATTTTAAATTGGCTACTAAAAATTGCCATATTTGAACCTTTTTTTTGGGGGGGGGGGGGTATTTTTCATTAAAAGAGTGACCCAGGCCTATGACTGTTGTGCCTGAGAAATGAATGTAAAAGGAGGGTTGAGTGAAAAGAAAGTCTGTCTTACTTCTCTCTCAGCTTGTGAAGTTCTCTTCTCAGGTCGTCATCCTCCAACTCACTCGCATTGTCGTCATCATCATCGCTGCTATCTACGGGGGAGCGGCTATGTCCGTGCCCTCTCGAAAGATGGGCCATCGCTGGCGTCCTCTCTTTGTCGGCCTCCTTTGCCCGAGATCTCCTCCTTTCCCGGAGCAGAACAGGAGCCACCGGGGAGCCATCCGTCTGCTCATCCTGCGTCTCGGCCTTTGTCACGGAGAAGCGGCCCACTTTTCTGTGAGTGCTGCCGCAGCCTGATGACGCATTCTTGGGGGGGGAGGACTGAGGCACAGGGGTCACCTGTTGAGAGCAGTTGAGGGGAAACATCACCATTGTGTACTTTGTCCAAACAAATGAACGGTGAGATCAAAACCATACATGGAATCGTCCTTTGCGTGACAGAGTTGGATGCGGGGTCACCTCCTTCATTTCTTTGAACGACTGACCAGCCGACCGGCCGTCTGATAATGAGACTGGGGTAAAAACCAAAAGGGATAACGGGGAGCAAGAGAGACACAGATACATAAATATACACAACACGCAGACAGACACAGAATAATGTCCACGAGAGAGGACATGCAGATACAGACAAACATGGAGCACAAAGATACAGTCGTGTTAAAAATCCATCCATGAAATCACTCATTATTAATTGTAACATAGAGTATTTTGGCTGCATGCAGGTTTGTGAGTTGTGTATTGAAAAAATACTGCGACATCAGTAAAGTGAGTCATGATGTACAAAGAACTGTACAGGCATGTGAGGAGCTGGTAGTTGTCGGCTTATAAAAAAGGACAGTTCTAATACAAACATAACTAAAACTCTGATAAAATCTTTCTTATGAACAACATTCCCACCCATGCGCACCACTGGCTGGCTTCCTGCTTCTCCACCAATCATCAGCCACACATGCATATGGTGTCTTGACGAACAAAGCGACCTAACATCCAAGAGCTAAAACTGCAAAGATCAAACCAGTCTGAGCCAAATGAATACTGCTCAGTTGAAATGAATGTCCTCAAGGGTCGCAGGTGTGCTGGAGCCTATCCCAACTGACTTTGGGCAGTAGGCGGGATACATTAAACTGGTTGCCAGCTAATTGCAGGGCACACAGAGAAGAACAACCATTCACACTCACAATCATACCTAGGGACAACTTAAATCATTCAATCAACCTACCATGCATGTTTTTGGAATGTGGGAGGAAACCGGAGTACCCGGAGAAAACCCACACAGGCACGGGAGAACATGTAAACTCCACACAGGAAGGCCGGAACCGGAATTTAACCCTGCACCTCTGCAATATGAGGCGGACGTGCTACTGAAATAAAGATTTCATCGCAATTTACTCGCAAATTGGCTTTGCATGAAATGTGGGCCGCTTTAAAGGGTGGTTCATTCTGCTGCATGAATGGCAACAGGTTGATTTGTACCTTCCGCCCTCTCACGGAAGAGATCATTGCTCCAACGTCCCTGGCATAGATAACTGGGCAAAGATCAATTTGCGAGGAATAAACAAAAAAAGTGAGTGACCTGTCACGAGACCTTGGTTGAGAATCACTACTGAATACAGCTTAGCAATTGTGCACCCCTTAAGATGCTTTTTGTGGTGGTGAGCTGAGAGCGACGCAGCTGACACTGCCTGTGGACTTGGGATGGGGAGGGAAGGGCTGCTGTCAAATCAAGGCACATGGCACCCCACTCCCCATGCACGCGCCACTATTCAGCGCTCATCTTGCCACATGCAACCCATGCAAAAGGAAAGAGTGCCAAGAATATTAAATATTGAGCACAAATGGTGGAAACAAAAACCACAAGAGCAATAATGTCAGCACTGATCATAGAACAGGGATACAATAAACCCCTGCTATTCGCGGGAGATAGGGAGAACCAAATAGTGAGTAGCCGATGTTCCAGTATTAAAATGTTCCTAATGCTTGTATTAACAGATTGAATTATAAATACTCCACAAAGTTTGATAAGCACTTGAATACCATTTCAAACATTTGACATTATCCTGGGGAAAAAAAAAAGCTGACAGATTTTGAAAATATGCACCAGAAGCGCCTGTGTAGAGTCTCTCTAACTGGTGCCTTGAGATACAAGTGACCCGACTTCCATATTTTTCAAGATAAGCGACATCGTCCGGTCGTTTTTTGCTTTAACGTGTGAGGCACTTCCTCGCTTCCCATTCTCCAAGCCTGGTCCTTTTTGGCTTTGTCCCGGCCGCGATTGGAAGCTGGCTATGTTGTATAACTCTTTGTTCCTAAGACCGCAATGATACAGTCCTATATTTTTTTTATTTCAGATTAGTTTTTATTTCACTACGATGCATGTGTCTGTCTGAGCTTGTGCTGCTGATGCGAGATGTACGTACTTTGTACACTCTCAATGCCTGTGTGTGTGTGTGTGTGTGTGTGTGTGTGTGTGTGTATATAATATACACACACACACACACACACACACACACACACACACACGGTTGTGAACCTCTTCTTCATGTGCCCATTTTAGACTGCCCGGAGGAGGCCAAGGCGTACACACCAGAAGGAGCCGGACAATGTTCAGTGAATTGAAGCAGAAATGTGGCAAATACTGTTAAATTCTTTTATAATTGTATCTCAAGGCACCACTGTATTTCCTCAACCACAATTACTACTTTTTGATTCACCTATTGCCTTTAGCGCCGTCTTGTGGAGTCTGAGAGCAGTTCCAGAAAGAGCAAAAAATGTGAATTGGTGATTTGTTTTTTTCTGACTAAAGCCAACAATAGGGATTCAAATGGATTAAATCCAAAGGGATTAAAAAAACGAAAAAAATAATGAACCGCGAATTAGCAGGGTGTTCACTGCAATGCAGTTACATAACAATATTCAAACATGGGGTTATCCATCTATGTTTGACATCAACACTTGGTGCAAGTTAAGCAAGTTAATTGTCTACAGTATGTTAAAACTAGTACTAGATATTAGACTTCCATTTACAAGTGCGACATCACACTCACTCAGTCACTCAGTCACTCAGTCACTCAGTCACTCAGTCACTCACTCACTCACTCACTCACTCACTCACCACACTCACCACACTCAACACACTCAACACACTCAACACACTCCACTCTCGTCACTCACCTCACTCAGTCAGTCAGTCAGTCAATCAGTGTCTTTAGAAATCCCTAAGAGCACGCTACCTTGCTGGAATCTGGGCTTCTTGAACAAGCTGGCGGAATGGCGCAATTTGCATGCCCAGTTTTTGAATTTGCGAGTCCAGGATTTCTTGCTAGAAACCGGATTTCTGATACTAGGACATGTCAGGTTTAGGCCAAAATATCCACCTCCTGCATTATGCTGCTGCGCTCCATTCCGGAGGGGGATCTGCTGGCGGTGGGCCCGCAATGCTTCTTCAGTGGTGCTGCTGTCAGAGTGGGGGGCTATAGCCTAAAACAGTTGGGACAAATAAGAGTGGGCTTGAGACATTTTAAAGAGAAAGATGGACAAACAAGAAACATGGTGCATCACATTGAAATGGACATCATTCAACTGAATATGGACTGACTACCGAGTGGATTTCCTCATCAAGTGGCCAAGGGTGTTCAATGACTTAACTGTAAGTTGACCAGTTTTAACAAATAAGACAAAAAGTGATTGTTCTGAAAATTGCAAAGCTTGGCATCTATTGTAATGTAGTAATGGTATGTACTCTGCTTCAGGCGGACAACACACCGGGCGTCAATTAGACAGGAGGCCACTATACCGTCGAGATGTACTGTATGCAAGCCATGATTGATGAGTGTTAGTCACTCACTAGGATAGTTGGTTCTCCTGGTACAGGAGGATGCTGTGGCTCAGCAGGGACATCCTGTTTGGCGGGGAGAAAAGCTGCAGAGGGTGTGGTGCCGGTGGTGGCGGTAGAGTAGGTGGAAGAATGAGATGGGCAAAGCTGCAACTCCATCAGGCCTTGCTTGGCTGACTGGGAAACTTCTGAAGAGCCTTCCCGAGGTCCTTCACAGCTTTCAGGGTCAGGAGTGGTGGTGGTTGAGGAGGTGGAGGAGGAGGAGGTGGTGGAGGACGTGGAGTGTGGAGATGCGTCTGAGACAGAAGTAGGGGGTGGGATGCACAACGCCTGTGGCTCAAAAGACTCATCGCCACCTGCAGATGTGGAGGCCGTCGATGTTGACGTCAGTGCAGACGCAGCCCCACCGGCTGGAGACGCACCGCTGACGCAGTGCTCCTGATATAACAAATTCCTCAGCTTTTCATCCAGCGTCCTCATACGATTGTCTCCAAATTCTATTTTGGGGGGACCTTCGCTGTCCGACTCGGCCACCGAGGAAGGCTGCGCAGGGGAAGGGGTGAGTGTGAGGGACAGAGGGATGAAGGAGGCTTCGGTCGCTCCCAAATGAAGAGGTGGCAAAGACGAGTCCGAAGAAGGATGCCACGGCATCGGGTCGTCTGTGAAGCTCATGTCTCCCGTGGACACATCCGACTCGGACTGCTGTACAGAGGATTGTTTGGGGAGCGGGTGTTGTTTAGGAATCGTGTCGGCGGTGCTCGACACATCCTCTCGCTCTGCGTTTTGCGTCTGGCAACGCCGTGTTGGCAGGTCAGCTGAGACTTGGGATGTTTGCGCCACCTGACTACAAACGAGCTGCTGATGTTGTTGCTGCTCTGGTGTGTACACCATCTGCAGTGTGTTTAGTTGTTGCTGCCGATGGTCCGTGTGCGACTGATGTTGAGGCACAGCCTGCTGCTGTTGCTGATACTCAAGCAGCGCATGCGGCGTCATCTGTGGTGTTTGTTGCTGCTGCTGCAGCTGCACAAACTCCTGTTGCTGCCGTACCTGAATTTGTTCCTGGTATACCTCCTGCGTCTGCTGCAGTTGTTGTTGGTGCGGTGCTGCCTGCAACTGTTGCTTAAGCTGCAACTGCTGCTGTGCAGCTGATTGGCCTCCTTGGGAGAGGGTCTGCTGCAGCTGCTCTAAGTCAGCTTGGCTGACTGCGCCATCAGCACCAGCGGTGAAGGGCGTGGCAGGTACAGCAGTGGGGATGGAGCTAAGGTTGCTGGTAGGAGACACTGCCGTGGAAATGGGCAAACTGAGCCTTTGGTGGCCACAAGTTGTGGTGACGACTTGCAGCTTGGCACCACCTGAAATAGTCTGAGGGCCAGAGGCTTCAAGAATGCCTTCAGGTGCAGCGGCGTGCAAAGTGGGTGCAGTCGTGACAGAGGGGGCGAAGACAGTAGAGGACACTCCACTGAAGGATTCCAGACTCTGGGAGCTTTCTTTTTCTACAAAGCAGAGAGAAACAAACACGTGGTTTGTGGTACTGATAACTTGATCAGCTTCACAGCCATGGCCTATAATACTCAATTATTAGCTGCTACACTCCTGTAAATAATGGACATTGTCATCATCAAAAAATGCAGTGGTGGGCCAGACATTTAATACCTGTTTGATGTTAATTTAACCAACTTAATCTGTTTCGATGAATACATCGGACTCACTGGAGATGTTAATAATTAGTATGAAGATAAAAAGTTTTCTTAATGTGTGCAGATCACTACAGATTTGATTTGTTCGTCAAACCTGACTAACCAATCAGAGGACAGATGAATGCCGATCTCATTTAGGAAGAAATTGAATGGTGATTGGTTAAGGAAACTGTCCCATCGCAAAATGATTGTAAAGGCTGTGGCCAGATTAGACTAAAATGGCCACACGCAGAGGCTGAAATTTGATTGGACAAAAGTGGTGACATCCACATGTTGGAAGCAGTGCAACCAAGAAAAAGTAATAAAGGGATCGGAATAAATAAATACAATTTCACTTAGGCTGGAAATGGTGGTAGGTGCTTTTGACTGGCTTTAGCAAGCAGAGTAGGTCTTGCGCTAGAAAGACAAAATGGTTTAATTCTTGAATGATTAAATATTATTGCCTATTCCTAAGGTTTTAAAATTCATGCCTATTCATTTTAGCCAAATTAGCTTTCCACAAAGACTCGTCCTCTTCGTCACTGAAGGAATAATGGTAGCATTTTGGTTGGAAAGGTAAAACGGCTTACTAATATTTTACAAATACAAAAACATTTTAGCAGGCAAAGGTGTGATTGTTTTTGCAAATTCAAGCGACTATATGGATGACGCCAAAGGTTTACTCAAACTACTCAACATAGTCTTAAGTTTCGGAATCGGTGCAAAAGAACAAAAACAAAAACAGCAACAAGAAGATTTCCCTTTCAAATTTCTGTGGGACAACGTGGAACTTGTGCAGGTCCGCCAAGCACATGGTTACCCCAAATATACTTAACACGAAACAAATTCTAAAGTGTATTACTTCATTTCATCACGCAGTGTCACGACTGCTGTTCTGCACCGCACTGTGATTGGCCAGTCGGCATTTCCAGGTTGCGGTTTAGCAAAATGCCAATTTTCCCAAAGAATTTGCTCTAATCTTACCGTTATGCTTTCATATCAGTATGCTGTAAGTGATGCCTGAGCTCACCTGTATCTGTTTTCGGGGCTGGGAGTGCCCTTGTTTCTCCGGTGGGAGGTGTCATGGCTGCCCCCTGGCTAGAGAGAGAGTCTCTGTGGCGAATGGTCTGGTTGATAAAGAAACGCCAGCGTCCCACCGGAGACGAGTGTGGGACGGAGTCGGCTGAGGAATCATACACACATATTTTCCGTTTGTTCTGCGGTGCCGCATTATTGGCAAAAACTGAAAAGACTCCTATTAACTTACACGTAGAGCTCGTGGGCGTACTGACTTGTAACTGATCGGTTGACCCTGTCTGATTGGGAAACATGCAAAGGATCATCAGGAATCAAACACAGATTGTACAGGCGATATGGAAGACATAAATGTACATACAAGTGAATGCGTTTGAAGTATTTCCTGTGCTTTCGCAACTATGGCTCTGAGCTCTTCAACAAACTTCTCCTTTTCCACATCGAGGACAAAGACTTCCTCCACCTGGAAACAAAATCCAATACAAACAAATCATTAAAGCTGTGAGCATTTTTCTGGCCAATGCTCCAAACAATCATTTAAGTTTCACGCCATGCTCCACCCACATTAGGTGACTTGGCCAAAAAAGCTCGGCAACTTTGCCTTGCATATTTCTCTTGAGACGACCCAGGATATAGCACAGGATGTCTCCCGACTGGTCTGCTAACACCTTGGCATTCGACTGGAAGAACTGGACGATGTAGCAGGGGTGAGGCGAATTGGGGCTTCCCTGCTAAAGCTGCTGCCCCCCATGAACCAACCCCGATAAGCGGAAGACCGTGCGTGGATGGATAAATCTCTTTTGGATATTTGTTTCCAATTGGGCTGATTGAGGCAAATCCCTTGGAAATCACCAAGAATTGTTTTTTTAATCAGTGTCCAAAGTACATTTACAGTCACATCAGCCATCTCTGATTAAAATTTGCTGTTGACCAGTGTTACTGGGGCATGTTTGTAACCCCTTCAATACATACTCGTTGACCAGGATAACATTTGTTGCCTTTGTATGAGCTAGTGCTGATATTCTTAATATCTGATGATAAAGTATTATTCAGAAAGACTGCAGACAATGTTATGCGTGAGCAGGTTACCATATAATCTGCAATGTCCTCTGGTGCATCGCCCTCCAAATCAAATTTAAACGTCACCATTTTGTTACTATGGGTCTCCAACTGGCACTCCACCATGTTGTCGCCACTGCCTGACACCTTGGTACGAACAACGAGAAAAAAAATGTCATCATTGCAAATGTATTCTTGGATACATTTGTTCTTTGTTGATACGTGTTTTCACCTGAAGCATACTCAGTTGAAACTGATGTGAAACCTTCTCAGGTTTCAGAGAAGACGCTCTCCTCTGGCCCTTTACTTTTTCTAATTTGCCATTGGCCAAGAGCAAAGGAGCTTCTTCTCCATTCGTTGGCACAGACCTGTGGGTGGCACAGTACTTTCAGTGGCTAGGCATTTTATTGTACATGAGAAGGACATTGTATATAGAATACTAAATAATAAGCATACATGCAAAATGACATTCCTTTGTCATTACGATGACTACAATGAAGATAGTTTCATTGATCTGATTTTGCCTTTTCAATTCATTTCAACAATTCCAACATAAAAGCATAAAGCATTGCAAGTCACTTTAAGAAATGCTGGAAGCTGTTTTGTATTAAGCTGATACGAAACCTATTTGGATTTTAAAATGCATGATGGTGGACACACAGAGACACATATGAAGTCAGACGTACCCAGTTGAGGAAGGGCGGTCTCTATTTGACAGGGGTAGACAATCCTGAGGAATAAATTGATGTAATAAATATAAACACAAAAAGGTACAGCGAAAGAACACAAATGACATCAGCGATGAATGTAAGTGAAGCACTAACATATGAACAACTACAGCACTCGTTAGGATGAAGAAGCTTTAGTTTTGAAACGACACTTTTATATGCCCTCACTCATTCCACCAGCACAATTGCACTGAAATCACACAGTCACACTCATCTGCAGACATTCTTCCTATACCTGAGAAATGCCGAGCAGGGAAATGTCACAGTCTTGCAGCGAGGCTTGGGGTAGTTTGGGGTCATGACAATTAAGTGAGTCTATAGCAGTGGCAGGTCCAAAGTTTCCTTGCCCCGGTAAGGTGAGCTGGGCCGCTGGTGGCGACGACAGCTCTGGCGCAGGGGTGGCAGGAGGAGGATGGCGGGATGGTAGTGATGGCGGGGGGGGCGTTGGGTGAGAGGGGCTCAGGACTATGTGATGTACGGGGAAGACGGCATGGAGAAGAAGAGGCGCTTCGGCAGCTGGTGCTTGCGCGTGACAATGAGCCTGCTTTTGAATGCATGTCTGGGACTGGGCCTGAATGTTGTTATGTGCGGGAGTGAGTGCAGGCGGCGTGTGCTTTGGCTGGAGCTGGGAGGAAGATCCGACGCCTGTCGTTACGCTCCTGTGCGAGGACGGGAGGTTGGTAACATGGGAATGATGATGCGCCGCATTCCAGGGGGCTCGCTGTGCGTCGGGATGCGGAGCAGGCTGACGTTGTGCCGGCAGCTCCGCCTCATCCCTGCCAATCGCGGCCTGACTGAGCGGACATTTTGGCTGGCTCGGAGTCAGGATGGGCTCAACTGGCAACTGGATTAGGGAAGGAGGTGCTGATTGCTGAGCTTGAGAAAATGTCTGTAGCTGCTGTGGCTGGGAGCTTGGCTGAATTGCTGATGAATTTGCGGTGCTTCCTAACGGCTGCTGCTGGTCCAGGACCACTGGAATATCGACTGCAGTGGTAACAATGCATGCAGGCTCTCCCCAAGAATTGAGACCGGCTGTGTTGGCTCCAGCAGACATGGCCACCGGCTGATACTGCAGCACTGGCTGCCGTGTCACATCTATGACATCATGTCTAAGTGACGGGGATCGGTAGTCATTCGGAGGGCCGGACTGAGTGGTCAGAGGGCTAGCCGGAATGTGACTTTGGGCCTGGAGAAGCGCCTGGCTTGGATTTTGTTGCCTAAGCTGAGACTGAAGCATGTCTGGCATTTGAATATCGGGATGAAGAAGAGTCTCCTGCGGTATCTGAGCAGGAATTGTTGTTGCTGCAAGCTTGACAGAAGTTTGGCTTTGCTGGCCCATGATCTGAACGTCAGCAGAAGAGTTCTGGCAGTGCGATGGTTGGGACTGGTAGACTCCTGGCTGCAAAGGCTGACCCGGAATGACTGACTGAGCAGACATTTGGGTTGTAGTAGAAGGTGTTGGCTCAGGATAAGCGCTTACAACTTTCTGGGCTTGGATGACAATTTGTGCCTGTCCTTGAGTGGTTACAACCACAGGAACAACACGGGAGTCAATCATGATCTGAGCTGCCTGCGTGGTCGACTGGCTTCCATATTGGAGCGGAACATTGTGGCCATGACTTTGACTTTGTCCTTGCTGGGGGAGCGCCTGAGCTGGGACGATACCTGATGCCACGACTGGGTAACCAAGACGAGTGTGTTGCTGAATCATTTCAGCGCTAGGTGGAAGCCCGAGTGGGATATGAGATTCTCTTGCAAGTGGAGTAGAATACGGTTGCTGCTGCATTATCAGTGCAGCTTGTTCGCCAGTGAGCGGGTTATGAGCTACAAACTGAGTGCTGCTTGGTTGAGGGGCGCAGAGCTGAAGCATCTCAGGTTCTTTCTGTTGTATGTGCTGCTCACCGCTGCTTTGAAGAGAAGAGACCGCCTCTTGTTTTTCTGTTTGCTTAAGTTGAACGATGGCAGCTTGGCGCTGTTGCTGCTCTTGAAACTGTTGTTGAAATGGGGTCTTTTGTTGAAGCAGAATCTCTTGCTGCTGCTGCAGAAGAGCTTGTTGCTGGATTTGTTGCGGCATCAGCTGAGTCTTCTGTTGCTGCTGCTGTAAGACGAGCTGCTGCTGGAGATGCTGTTGGAAGAGAGCTTCTTGTTGTTGTTGTTCTTGTTGAGTCGGCTGGGGCTGCTGATGCACCACCTGCTGTTGCTTCGGTGGCTCCTCGTGTATTCTTTCCATTTGTTGATACAACAGTTCGGGCTGCTGCTGCCCTAAATGGTGTTGTGAATGTGCTTGCTGCTGCATGGCTTGATGCTGCTGTTGAAGAGAAGCTTGTTGCTGATCCAATAAGTGCTTGCGTACAAGGGTCTGCTGCTGCTCCAGTTGCTGCTGCTGTAATTGAGCTTGTTGCTGATCAAGTGGGATCAAATTCTGATGTTGCTCCAGCCGGAAAACTCCCTGCTGCGGTTGTAGTTGTCTCGAGGTTTGCTGTTGCTGCGGTTGGATGGTGGTGATCTGCTCACAAGGGTCCTTCACTGGTTGAGAATGTTCTCCCGGTGGTGGCAACGACAAAGCGTGTTGCACCATACCTACTCTTGCCGCTTGGTCCTGTGGAGCCGGGGGGAGGCTCTGCTGTACACAGATCTGCTGCTGAGGCTCATGTTGATGTTTCAGGACCGCTACAGCTGGAAGGCTCTGTTGAAGCTGTCCTACTGAAGGCTGAGTGGTGCTCAAGTGTTGCTCTGACAGAGCAAGCTGGCTCTCCATTTGCTGCTGCTGAAGGCTCGACTTCTGGCCACCGAGACCACGGTGCTGTGGCTGAACGATGGTCTGTAGAGGTTGTGTTTGCTGGGGTGCTGGCTGCTGAACAATGTCAGCAAGCTGCATGGGAGGGGCCTCGGGCTGGGGCTGCTGTGTGAGGGGAACAATAGTCACCACAAGCCCAGCAGGATCGCTGAGTGACATGGATGAAGTGAGAACTTGTGGGGAAACAGAGCTGATGTATGACTGGGAGGGGGCCAGTGACGCTGGGGGGGTGGCTGTTTGAAACGCATCTGATGGAAATGATTGTGACTGTGTAGTGATATGACACAATGGTGATTCGTGTTGAAAGAAGCGGGATGGGGGTAGTGGGGGGGGAGAGAAAGTAGTAAACATTAGGTAAGAATAAGCTTGGCCAGAACAATTAACACATTTGATATGACAGGATTTCCCACATTTTTTTGAGTGGAGGACCCTCACGTAAAACTTTTCACGAAAACAGACTAACTGCAGGTTTAAGGAAGCAAAATTCAAGACTTTTGTAGGACATCATTCATTAATTTTAGCACTACGAGTTTGCAAGACAGTATGGGCTCATTATTACACCATAATACTGTAGTCATTTTGCACTCATATTTTGGACACGTTATATACAATTGACTGATTGCAGCGTAGTTACGAATTTGACAACCGGTAATTCTTCACAGTTGTCCAAAGCTTATACATTGTATTTTCTTATTGTCTGTACAGTGTCCTTGGGTGGCATGAAAGGCGCTTTTAAATATAATGCATGATTATTATTATTATTATTGTGTTCAAACCTTTGAAGAGTGGATTTAAGTGTCTTTCCAAGGCGTTTTAAGGACCAGCTAACATCCTGTAATAGATGTTCAATTGCTATTTTGTTCAATTACATCTCCACTAAAGACCTGGGGAAATACCCGTGTAGCATGCAGTCTGAGAGAAAGTGTCAGAGGATCATGGAAATCATCTGGTAAAGAGTCATCAAGAGAAGGAGGGTTAAGGAAAGGGGACACGATGCACAGCTTTGTTTGGATGAACTGTGATTTGTTTGGTTTTCAGGTGAAGCAACTTGCAAACGATTAAAAACAGAAAGACAAAAGAATTGATACAAAGTAAACTTACAATTTCAGATAATTTGTTCTCCCCAGTATTAGCCGAAAGTATGATGTACAAAATGTAAAAAAAAAAAAAAAAAAAAGGAGTCAGGAGACATCCTGACTTGTCTCCTGACTCGTTTTTCGATTGATAAAAAAAAAATAATAATAAATAAATAAATATTTAATGCCCAAAGGCAGTAAAAAAGAGACTACCAAAAAGAATTTATTCTCAACAAGCAAAACAAAATCTGCTGGCGCAGCAGGATAGATGCTAAACAAGAAAAAGTGCCAAAAAACAAAGAGGTCTGCTTGTGACTCAGAAGACTGATGCAACAAGGACAATGGCCAGACTGAGACAGATAGAAACCAGGGAGCTCACGACAAACAAACTAACAAAACAACAAGGAACAGGTGGAAACAAAACCGAGCAAGTAGACATGAAATCAACAAGAGACATAGGGAAACAAGAAAAACATTCAACAAAATGAAACATGATCAAAGCAATACTGAAGTCCACCAACGTATAGAAGACGATAGACTCAAGTGATGAAGATACGAACCCTGATCGAGACGACAGTGGAGTGCTGCGGCAACTCCCAATTGATTACAAGTTTGAGTTATCGCTCCTTTCCCCTAAAAATACTGCTGAGCTATATTTGGCGATACCTGTTGAACCACGGCATTGGGCTGGAGGAAGGTCTGAGCAACAGGCGGGCCTCGGCTTTGAGTGATGCAGGACAAAGTGACACTCTGGCCACCTGGCAAGCTTGGAACAGCTCCACTCTCACCAACTGGGAGCCTCGGAGGATTAGCCGGTACGGCGGTACACTACAGACCAATCAAATGGTGGATGAGCAATTACATTTCTGAACAAAAGCGATACAGGGATCCCCCGTGAAACATCTAAACACATTTTGTAAATACATCGTAAACATTTGAACACAAAAAAATGCGATCATAAAGTTCATAGAAAATACTCTACATATTAGATTGTGCACATGCATGCATGTTCCTTAATGACTGTGGCTCCCCTTTCCCACATGTGAGGGTATTACGGTAAGTACAGTGATGCCTTAACATCTGTGTTTAATTTGTTCGGTGACCATGTTGGAAACTGCAAACATTCGTATTCCGAATCACCTTTCCCCACTGAAATGAATGAGAATGTGCAATGTAGCGGAGCTGCGATATAGCAGGGAATACTTGTGATCTACATATAATTGGTGTCATTTACAAGTGAGCCCAAGTGACGTGTGTGATACATACAGAAGTAGCGATGGGCTGAGAAGTCTGCGGGGGAGCTAATGATTCCCCCAACTGAGAGTGTGACTGGCTCTGTCCGCTAGCATATGACTCACAGCTGGCAGACCCGAGACTTTCCCCTAACAAGTCCAAAAATGAGAATGAAAAGAAACTTAGCATGTCTTCAGGGTCGTGATGAAGTGCATTCTGGTTTCTACTTTACCTGGCAGGCATAGCGTTGCCCCTCTGACAACATGCTGGTCCAGTTCAGGCAGGTTGTCAGATTCCTGCCCGCCTCCTCCGGCTGTTCCGCCCCCCATTAATGATGGGCTGGATGAATGGGGGAAAGTGTGGGAAGTTAGAGTGGAGTCGCGTCTTTCTTCAAGTCCCTGCTGCTGTTGCTGGAGCAGCTGTTGCTGCCGTCTCTCCCGTGACTTCTTTATCAGATTGACTCTGTCGCGAATTGATTTGCCCACCACCTTGGCATCACTCTCATGGAAGAAGCCTGACTTTACCTGTGACAAGAAACAGAGAGAGAGAGAGAGAGAGAGAGAGAGAGAGAGAGAGAGAGAGAGAGAGAGAGAGAGAGAAAGAGAGAGAGACAAAGATGTATAATTTGTCTTGAAGAGTGCAAGGAGGAATCCGATGTTGTCGTATTCTAGACAGTTGTCCCACGAAGCCCGAGGAATAAAAGTCTGGCTTTTGACCAAAATGTTGGTAAAAATATGATGCATAGTTGAAATATTGGAGGTTGGAATTGTCCTCACAGCTGACGTCGTCATATCACAGCACAGCACCAGTCAGTGAACCTGACTAGCCCTCAGTTGTGGATTCTAGTATTGTGAGCTGATGGCCTCTTCAGCCAATGTTCGCTCCAACTTTCCATGCGACTGAGCATTCACACAAAGTCCCTGAGCATCCCTTGGGCTACGGTGAGCAACATCAGACATGCAAGCGGTGGCCAAGCCGGTATCAGATCTGTCCAACACCTCACAAGTTAAACACTCAACAAGAAAATGCAAAACAGCTCCTTCCACCATCATATCGTATCTGTGTCTACAACCTGTTATATAAATAATCAAATAACATGTTAGTTTAACACAGTTGTATCATGTGTATATGTTGAAATGAAGTAAATCCAAAGAGGTGGTTTTTTTCTGTCTTCACACACCCTCCTGGCGCGCTGTTCAAAACAGGAAAAGTGTAAGTGGAGATTGGCCTAAAGAGTCAAAAATAGCAACTCTCAACTACCAAGATTATCTTCAACAATAAAAACAGAGGGTCACTTTCAACCATCGTGTTTAATAGTGTAGAGTGTTAAACTGTGTTATGGGAGCATTAAAAACAAGCACTTGCACAAATGCGACCAGCTGATGATAATGGATACCTGCAAATCAGGATGCCATATTATAAACAGGTACAGACAAACAAATCATTTTTACGGTTGAATCAAAGTGGAGTATTCTCCACAGGCGTGTATTTTTCAAAGGATTTTACGACTCGGTTAGATTACAGTCCATCTTTGAGCAAACACAAATTTGCCGTTTTTTTCCTCACCATCTCAAGAGCCACTTCCTCAGCACTGTCATTCTCCAGGTCGTAGCTAAACTCGATGGCCTCGTTATCTTTGTGTTTCCCCTTCAGTTTTTTGGGCTCATCAACCCAAATCCGTAGAGCCAAACAGTCCTGGGTGCCGTTGTCTTCCTCTGCCAACTCCACGCGGACCCCCGTGTCTTCACCGAAGAACGCGTGGTTCAGCAAGTCTCGGATGGACAGCCTGCGCATGCACGGAAAGATCGGATAGCAATAAAGAAAGCAAGAAACTTTCTGGGTCTGGCTTGAAAACAAGAATCCTGCTTACCGCTGGCTTTTATTCTGACGAATACACCCTTCAATAATCTCTTTTATCTCGGGGTCGTTCACTTTATCAAAGCTGGCTGGTTTGATACCCTGCAGAAAGGCATGCAGGAAATAGTTTCAAAAAACTATTCACAAAATGATCACTTCAACTCCTGACCTGCATGTTTCACTCGTGCCAAATTGACTCACGCTTGTAACTTTGCGATAAATCTGAGCGGCATTTTGGCACTCGGAGTAAGGGTATTCGGAAGTTGCCATCTCCAGCATGCACATTCCAAAGGCGTAGACATCCACAGACTCGTCGTAATGCTCCTCATACATCTCTGGAGCCATGAACTCGGGGGTTCCTGTTCAAGCACAACAGATAATTGCAGCTTCATCCCTATGGATGGGTAACAAAGACGCTCCTTTTTGGGGGATGGACCGATTTTGGGTCGGTAATACAGAGAACCCATTCATGTGAAATCAAATGCTGCCACCTTTCGATTCCGAAGAGCGTACAACTGTGCGGCAGTAGAAGAGTTATCGAATTTCCATGCTGCATTTGAACGCAGCATTGCCATATTTAGGTTTTCATATGGGTGAAATAACCAAAGCATTTTGTACCACATCGGGTGCATTCAAATGATGAATTCAATCCCAACAATTATTTGCGTGGGTCTCGTTCACGTCCTCTTCTGTCATTTTTTTTGCTATATTTAAGTCCAGGGTGAATTCAAAGTGATGGTGCAGCTTGGGGTACCTTGCGTCCTTGAAAAACAACTGCACGAGGAACAAACACTAATACAATTATTATTTATCTTCATTCCATGTATTACTGTTTCACTTCATTCCTTGTGGTGTTCTTTGCTTTGCACTTGGGATTGTGTAATTAATTATCGTTTGGATTAATTATACTTTGTTAATTGTACAATGTTATATGCATTATTTGAACTCCTTCCTGGGTTAAATAAATTATTATTTATTTTGCAAACAACAGGAAAAAAATGTCCTTAAAATTGGTACCATTGAGTACCGGTGTTGATTCCCAGGTACCGAGAATCTGAACCGAACAGATTGAACGGTGAACGGTACCCATCCCTGTTTATCCCTATTAATGCCCAATCAGGCAGATTAGTCAGTCAAATTGTCACTGATGTATTGACTTTTTGCTGCGCTGTTCCCGTGGGTCTGTAGTGGCCACACTCTGTAACTGTGTGCTCAGGCCCGTCCCCTTCCAATGCGCAGACCGGCGAATTGCAGCACACTTCTCTCATTCACACAAGTTGAAGACAAGAGAAAGTGCTCTTTTTTTTTCAAATCTAATAGTAAACTGTGAGTTTGTAAAACAAGACAAAAACATTCTTGGGAATCATGCTTTGAAGCGTGTCAAATGCCATACTAGTCAGCCTCTATTGAAATATTAGTATTTCTTAGTTATAGACCTGTACTGTTCATAAATGCATGGTATACTGTACAGGCTTTTCACTCTAAGCTTGAGGAAGTGCTGCACACATACATTTTAGAGCATTTGTCAATACCCATCTAAAGTATACACTTTGGGCACTTCACATTTATGGACCCTAACTTGTGGTGATGTAGCAACCACACAAGCATTGATTCCCAATGATGCTGTCTTTTTAAGAAGCCTACCGATGACACTTTTGGCAAATGAAGTCCTCATGAGGGTTGCAAGCCCCAGATCGCCTATTTTTACGGAACCAGTGGGGCCCGTGATGAAGATGTTGTCACATTTGAGATCCCTGTGCACAATGGGAGGGGTTCTGGTGTGCAGGAAATGAAGACCCTTCAGGATTTGCCGACACCAGCTCCTCAGCACCTTGGGCTTCATCACCTTAAAACGCTTCAGGTACCTGCACACAGAGACCGTTTCAGAAATATCGACATGGCAAATATTGCACAGAAAATGGAAAGGTTGAGACAAATGAGGAAAATAACATCCACTCAGCATAAAAGTAACATTTCAAAGACATGTTCATCTACTTTCCAATGAATGGTTTTGTGTGTGCTCCCTGTTTCTTTAACGCAAATGCAAAATCATAAACTTGGTTACCTTTGACACCGGAAGGCAAGTATTCATATCTTTGCAAAGGGTTCATTTTCATATGTTTCATGAAATGGCCACTGAATAAGAAATAAGAGTTGATTTTGGATGAAAAAACATGACACCATAGTATGCTGTCGTGACAAGTGAGAAGTGATAGCAAGAGGTTGCACCAACGTTTTGAGTGTTCCCGAGGTCATGAGTTCAGTGACGAGGACGATGCACTTCTTGCCACGGAGTACAGACTCCCACGAGTCGTAGAAGCGCACAATGTTGGGATGCTGGAGCCCCTTCAACATTTCCGCTTCTTCCTTGAAGCGCTGCTGCTCCGCCTTGGTCAGCTTGCGGTCCTGATAGGAAGGCAACACGTGGATGACATGGATTGCAATCCATAACATTTGAACCCAATTCCCCTTCCCTACAGCAGCGATCTTGACTAAGTTAAAAAGAATGGAAGGAGGAGGGGCACGCTTAACCTTGTGATTTACCATCAAACCAATTCAACACACTAAGTACAAATGCATTGGATGTAAAAAGTCTACACACCTCTGACCCAATGCCAGGTTTTTGCGATATAGAAAAATCAGATGGAGATAACTGATTTCAAAACTTTTTCCACCATCGATATGACCTAGAATTTGTACAACTCAGTCGAGTAAAATTAAACAACTCTGATGATGTGGGTGCTCAAGTGTATTGACCAAACAAAAGCTGGACTTGTCACCAAGCAATTGCAAGCAATTAAACATATTTAAACTGTATCTCAGTTTGGTGTTGTCAGTGATCGGTGACAAAGCAAAATGCTGTTCGTATTCGTGTAATAACTAGATGGGGGAAAAAAATGATTTTCATAGGGCTACCATCCAATGAACCTTTTTTGTTTGTTTTATGCAAAAATCAAACAATAACAATTTGGTAAAAAAAAGCATTAAAAGTCAGTCACATGCTTATAGAGTACACATGTATTTTTTTTTGTAGTCTATGGCTATAGACTACAAAAAAAAAAATCATCAGATGAACTTCCATAATATACCTAACACTGCTGGATGGGAGCCTCCCATGTCTCAATTTCATATTTTTTCCACAAATCTAAACTACTGGTCATCCCCATGTGGGTCTGTTACTTTGACAAAGCATTGACAAAGTCATGACAATGGCTTTCTCTGCTTTCTTTGATGATGCAAGAGTAAAGGCTCAACAACCAAGCAATTTTGGGGGGTTTCTAAAAAGTTACCGAGATGCAAGCAGCATATTTGTTCACAACATCGAGTGCAAGATTACATCACAGACGCAGGGACTGTGTAAATGGAGTCATGCATGAATTTACAATGGAAGCGGGAGACTTGTTGGCGCTTGGAAAACGTGGACATTTCCAAAGCGCCATAAGGTGAAAATGCATTGAACTGACATTTTAATGATCATCTTAATTGTATACGTAATGTCTCACATAACAGTAATGGTAGGATTAATTGCTGAGCTTTTTGTCACACAGCATCTGCTCTATCTTGTCATGACGATGCACTGATTTGGAAGGCCTCTAGATGCCAGTAGCCACACAGCGTTGCACCAGTCCCGAGGTGGCACCTTAAGGTTTTGTTCCAACACATTTGTGTCCATTAAAGAGGATGGGGCAGGGATCCAATATACTCACATGATAGCAACAATTATTGGGAAAAGTGATGTTCCGTTTACTTGAAAGATGCAATTTGTAGGGCACACTGAGCACCCCCCCCCACCCCCGATAAGCAAAAGAAGGGCCCTTTTTTTATCATCATCTTGGATGTCAAGTCAAAAGTTGATGAATATGAGGAGGCGGTCATGACAATATTTTAATGCAAAACCATCAACCACTGCTGTCAAAGCATTTGAAACGTGGCAAGAAATCCCAACATGTGCACTGTTCTATTTTTAGATGTCTCACAAGCAGCCATTGTTGACTGATTAATCCGTGAGTACAGAATCCAAAGAATTTCAGCTCATTGGTCAAGGGCTCAAATGTCAGACATTTGTGAATAGTCTTATGATAATAAAGTGCATTTTCCACCGCTATTGTAAGCACCAAAATCGAACAGACATATACTCAGAATATGTAAGAGGCAGATGGACAGCAGCGCTCGTGTCATATACAGGCCTCCCTAAAAATAGACATCGTCGTAATAGAAAAGCTTTCCACCGATCAATGATATCATTTCTTTAGCCAGGTTTAAACAAGTCTAGCAAAGGAGGCGCACACAAAAGAGGTCTGAACCGAATATAATGTAATACAGGAGTGACTAGCTTCCACATTTCCTCCTTTGTATGCTTCATTTTGGCCATTTCATTCAAAATGCATTCAGTCTCCTTTTGTGGAAGTACTGCTGGAAACAGTGCAGCCCTCCTCTCCAAATTGGAAATTCGCTTCAACAGAAAGCCAGGCTGCTCTTTGTTGCACTATTTATGGTGAAGAATAAGTCGCAGCTCACCGTCACTCTTGGCCTCAGCAACTACCTTAGGCAACGCTTGTGTAAACGTGGCTGCCTAAGTTCAAATGAGTCAAGACTGACTGTCCCCCCCGCCCGCGATCATCTTTTAGTCGTTTTGTCAGTGATTGCCACACCTGTTTGGGTGCTTGTGACCACTGAGAGTCTTGCCAGTCAAAGCATGATCCCGACTGTCAAGCTCAAGACGAGACAAGAGCGTTCGACTGCCGCCTCAGCCTTTACAGTACTGCGGCTCCCTTGTGCAGCATCAGGCCGTCTTTGAGTCTGCGCAGTTCACACAGAGTTCAACTCTGACGGGACAGACTTGCAGAAAACATTCTCCCCCATCCGTACCAAACTGCTGCTGTAAAATGAAATCAAATATTGCACTTTGGCACCATCTTTTTGTTAATGGCTGACCTTTTTTATGTTGTGGATAATCAGACATCTGCCTGAGCAGGTCAAACTATACACGCATAGGCAGCCTCAGAAAATACCCGGGAGAAGATGAGGGGCTGTGCGACAACGCACCCTGATGGCTATTCGGCAGATGAGGTCAGTGCTTGTGAGCACTAAAACGTCTGTTTTGGAAAATACTGTGTGAGTTATTAGATGTCATCAGCATACAGAGGGATACCTGTGGGTTCCATGTTTATGTTGATCGTCATGTGAATTAGTAACATGAGAAGATAAACAAGGCAAGTTCATACAAGAGAAGCTTTGTTCTTAAGTCCCTGGTCCAATTATGGTGCATTTGATTCCGTAATGTGCAAGTAAGCATCCGGCATTTGGCAATCCAAGGTGGCGGATGGTTGGGATTAGATTACTGTAAACCATGACAGCGCTCAGTAACAAGATAGAAAACTGGAAAAGGGCTGCCCCACATGCCAGATTAGAAGGCCAGGCCACTAGGCCAAGTTCACTAAGTATGTGAGCTGGAATAACAATCTCAAGGGCCCGTTGTGCATTGATTGAATTTGCTCAACAAATCTGTCATTAATCTAGTTGTTTCTGGCTCTTGAATGCGATTTTATATTGATTCTTGCAGTATACAAGTTTTCATATACTGTACCAATATTAAAAAAAGACAAACAAACAAAAAACACATCGGCCTCACAGTGCAGAGGTGCAGGCGGCTGGGTTAGTATACAAGTTTTCATATACTGTACCAATATTAAAAAAAAGACAAACAAACAAAAAACACATCGGCCTCACAGTGCAGAGGTGCAGGGTTTGATTCCGGCTCCGGCCTTCCTATGTGGACTTTGCATGTTCTCCTCGGGTACTCCAGTTTCCTCCCACATTCCAAAAATATGTATGGCAGGTTGATTTGGCACTCCAAATTGGAGGTGCGATTGTGAGCGCGAATGGTTGTTCGTCTCTGTAAGGGTCGTGCGACTGACTGACGACCGGTTCAGGGTGTAGTCTGCCTTCCGCCCTAAATCAACTGGGATAGGCTCCAGCACGCCTAGCATGAGCAGTGTTGAAAATGGGTGGCTGGATAAAACCAACGGTGTGTGATTCTTTAATTTGGGGATATCAACTCAATCAGACAAATGGGCTGCAGGTTTTCCACAACAGTAAGTATTCATTTGATCACATTACACGGTGAGGAAGCCTTACAAGCATGCACGATAGTAAGGCTGGGGGAGAATCTTGTGAAGAATAAAATGGATACAAATAAAAAGGTGCCACCCTGTTAGATACACCAGTAGTAGTGATACAGAGTGTGACCTTGGTTTTCCTATGCTTTGACTTTTGACCATACCCCCAAATTTTGTCGGAGTTTTCATTCATCCGCCTGGTTTTCGTGGTTGAAAAAATTCATTTGTCTGCATAAAACAGCAACTCGTTTCCTGCAATTAAGTGAGGAAATCAAGGCCTGGACGTCACTGAATTTCTTGAATTTGAATGAATAATTAACAGATGTGATGGTGTTTGGTCTCAATGACCCTTGTACATCCCAACCTGCCGTCTTGTCTAAAGGAAACTGTGTCGAATTTGGGTTTTAATTTGAACGGTAATTTTAAATTGCACCGGAAAAATTGGTGCTGTCTCCTTTTCATTTCAGGCAGCTAGCTTCTTTCTCAACAGCACTCAACAGTACTCGATATCTTTGTTGTTTGGATGACTGTAATACACTTTATTTTGGAGTCAGCCAGCCCAACCTCAAGTGTGTCCAGTTGCTCCAAAATGCTGCTGCTCTCCTACAAACTAGAGCTTGTAGGAGGGAGTACATAGTTCTAACTCTGGCTCCCTGTACATTTTAAAGTCAAATTTGTATTCATTATGCAGCGCTTTGTTTAAAGTGCGTGCCCTATAAATAAAACTGAGTTGAGTTATTGAGTGTGACTGCTTAATAAACCGCAGTGGGACCAAATAAAGTTCTACGAGTGCCCTGCGATTGGCTGACAACCAGTCCAGGGTCTACCCCGCCTACTGTCCAAAGACAGCTGGGATAGGCTCCAGCGCGCCCCGCATCCCTTGTGAGGCTAAGCAGATCGGAAAATGGATGGATGGATGGGTTCGCAAGCTCCAGGCTTTGGGCTGTCCAAATATGTCGGGTCCGTTTGGATCGATTGGGTTCAGCTACAGTGCATTGTATTTTGTAACTAAATGTAGGCTTTCATCAATACTATGTGACCAGATGACCTCAACTAATGCAAATGGTTCCTGGGTGATCAGAATCAAATGTTGTTGTCTCTTGCAGCCGAGTCATACTGGAGGAGTGATCCGTCCATCCTTCAAGGATTTTTTTTCCCCCTTAAATACGATTTTCTGTTTCTGGATGGGAGGTCTAAACCTGGGGATGTCATTCATTTTTGTGAACTTTGTGGGCCTGTGAAGCCCTTTGACACACTTTCGTGGGCTGTAATAAAGTCGACTTGAGAACCAACAAAATTAATCTTATACTTGTATTCTCTATCTTCTTAGCTTTAGCTCCTTATCACAGATTTTATCCACACCAAATCAGCAATAAAACCAAAAATATGTTCTCTTGTAAACAAGAAGCCTTTTGAGAACCTTTCTGCCAAAGCATTTTTTTGGAGAGCACGAGGTGCAGATTACACGATGACAAAACTAATCCATGTACTTAATGGCCTTAAAGGGAGTGTACAGTATGAGCTGTGTTGAGCTGCTCTGGTCTGGGACAGCTGGGTTAAACCAGTCTGCTTTCTGCTGCCGCTGGTATGCTGTCTGTGCAGGGCTTTTGTTCCAGCCTGACAGGTCCCCGCTGTAATTAACTCCCTGGATCACCCTGCATGCTCACTCACACGTACAGAAATTATGGATAGCGAGAAAGCAAAATGGGGCAAGGCTGACACATAACCGGAGCATACATTTTGTTGAAAAAAATGTTCTGCAAGTGAAAAATGTTCGCCACCAGCTTGCATCACTAAAACCTCTTCTACCATTTCTTCCTGTACATTCTTTTGGCGGGTTGCAAATACTTTTTATGCATACCGCCAATATTCCCTCTAAGATGCACACGAGAGCGGTTTCGCACTGCTCTCACTCTCACACGGTGAAGTTGGCACAGACTTATTCAATTTTTTCATTACCACCCCAGTCGAATCTACAAACAGGACACCACACCATTCCCTCTTGCCCTGTTTAAGTAGTGTGACAGAGGGTGCACACTCAGTTGTTCTACTATAGTATGAATCATACGGTGACAAGCTCACACTAACCACTGACATGACATTGCAGGCAACTCGCGAGCCGCTCCATTCAGGAAGTCCAAACATGGGTGTAGTTTCCAAGCCCCTTAAAGGAGTCCTGTATGCTAAAGTAAAAGTAAGAAATTAAGGCTGACTTTGTGTCACAAATCTGTATTCAGTGATTTGTTCTACTTTGATATAGAGGTGGTTTGAATTTTTTGGGATAACATATCAACATCATGTAACTTGTTATGATCCGAGTTTTTAGACAGGTGTGATACTAGTTTGGCCATCGTGTGCATGTCTGACGTTGCTCATTGTGGTCCAAGGGATGCTCAGGGAGGTTGTGTGAATGCTCAGATGCATGGAAAGTTGCAGGGAACATTGATTACCGCCACCTTATGGCCAGCAGTGGTACTCAAAGCCAATTTGAATTTCCCATTCAAACAGTTTTTTGTTACACCCTGAAATTATGGTTTGAAAGCCAGTCGAATAAAAATTTGACCAGCATCTTCTTCAAGGGCATATCCACTGATGGCAAATGTAAAGATGACATTTGACTCTCCTGTTCTCTGCCTTTGGAATTTCACAAAAAGAGGGAGAAGAAATACTGTAGGAGCAAAGGTGTCCGTACCGTGAACTTTAATTGCGACTCCTTCATGCGGGGTTTCCCCGTCTTCCGCGTCTTTGTAGACAGAGGAAGATAAGCAAGGTGCTCTCACGAAAAGCATCAACTTGTAAATGGTCTTCATTACATTATGTAATCCTTTGTTAGTCGTCCGCATCACTGTGAGTTAATTATAATTTTGCTGTCATCAATCTGGCTCGCCCAAGCACTCATCCAAATGTCACTGTGCTTTGGAAGGACTTTGGTAATCAAGAGTAAATGGTGCAGCTCATGTGGCCAGAGTGTTGTAGTCAATGTGGCGCTGGATCCAACAGAACCAAGCCTTGCTGTGCGTCTCTGTGTGTGTGTGTGTGTGTGTGTGTGTGTGTGTGTGTGTGTGTGCTTGAGTTGCCCCACTGTAAGAATTTGCTCAGCAATGACTCCCTGGGAGGAATGCCAACGTAATCCTCCATTTGGCTCATCTCTCTCCCACCGGCTTTTTTTCTTCTCACTGTTGTACTGTTTCTCTCACAGTCTCAATGTGTTTTCTCTTTCACTACATCCTGCCAACAGAATACTTTACATGAGACTAGAAAGTCATTTAAAACAGGCGCTTTCCAACCAACTCTTAAATAAGTGACAACACACGCTCGTAGCAAAAGCCACAGGCAGAGTTCACTCATTGATGCTGGCTGAAATGAAGTCTCGCAAGGTGTGCTGAAGCCAATTATTTTGCGAGGTGCTGAGACGGTCCAGTTTTCACTTTCACGTGGCTTATCAAAAGGTTTGTGGGCATAAAAAGCTGATGTAGCAATCGACATTTTCACTCATGGCTCCTTCTTGTCAAATCGTACAAACAATCACATAAGATGGTGTTTCCAAAAATGCTGTTCAAAAGAGATTGAGAATCCTTTCAAGCAGGAAGTAGCAACTTACTGGAATCAATGCGGTAACAGGGTTTAACAAGGTTGAAAATAGGCAATGCTTGGGTTCAGTCATCGGCGTGGCTACAGGCCACCATCAACGATCATGACAGTGAAACACACACTGCACAAAAGGTACTTTGGAGTCTTTTCTGCTTCGAATACGTACATCACATAAACCTCTGGTGGCTATTCTACCACCACAAAATGGAAAACGTGTCACACAAAGCCAAAGAAAGAGCAAAGATTTCATCCACTGATTCTGGTTAAACCGAGGCCAAGTGATGTGCGCTGATGGATCACAAGACACGATGTGTCAGTTGAGCGTCGGTCTACTCTTTTTGTGTCAAGAGCTTTGCTTGGCAAAAGGTCAATTGATCTCACACTGAAATTAGACTATAATTTTATAATAACTAATGAATCGTTTTCTTTGTATGATTCTTGTAACGTTAATGTTTGTTTTTTTTTTTTTAAGCTATGGGCTGGGCCTCTACTGTGGTGAAAGTGCAACACGCTGTGTAGGATGAGGGTAGGGTTTATGATATTTTATGTGTTAACAATTCAAGCTAGCTGCTAGTTGCCAGTCTAAAAGTGATGTGAGGATAAGCTCCAAACCAAATGCACAAAGCCAGCAGTCAAATGAGGGCGGCTGCAACAACACTGCCTTCTATTGTACTTTTGATTCTCCTCCGCAAGAATGTCTCCCACTACTCATGTTAACTACATGTTCCAATGTTCTACATTGCGCGGCAGCTTTCATTTGCATCTCTTGCTTCATGACATTAGCCAGGCAACAAATATTTGCGTTTGGTTTGTGTCGCATGCCCAAAGTGCCCCAAACGATGTATTCATCATGGCTAAAAAAAGGTTAAAAATAATGTCCCTTTTTAACTATAAATGAATAGAAAAGACACTTGTGAAACAGCACTAAGCTTAAGAAAAAATTGTCGTGGACCTCCTTGACACCCTGAAGTCCTCTTTGGCATGCTGGGATGTCAAGGTTTCAAAGGAAGAACTGCTGGAAATTCGACTCACAAAAGAGACTGTTTTAAACAAGGTAACTCAGCGCCTGCAATGCTGGGGGTTTTTTTTTCACCTTTTTCTTGTGTCACTGTCTGACTCATGCTGGCGCTGACGTGATCAAATGATTTGTTTGCATCATGCCACGTGGACACAGTAATGTCCCACTTTGATGGGTCTTGTGTGAAAGACAAATAGGAAATAAGAAAGGCAAATAAATACTGGCTCTAGTGTGACATCACTGACGTGCCAATTTTACAGTTTGAAAGGGACTTATTGGACATTAGGGCAATCAAGTCAAGCCCAGCTATTTGCAGGGATAGGGACCAAGCCCTTCTGGGAATAGTGAAAAAATAATGAGTGAATAAGTAATGCCATTCCAATAATGTTTAAACTACGGCTGTCAGTGGCAAATATTTTTTAAAATCGATAAGCAAACATTTTTTAAAGAATTTTGCATTTCATGATAAAAACATTTTTTTCTGAAGGTACTGTTTTATAACTAATTATTGTCAGTATGGTGACCAAAAGACAACATTTAAGCAAAATCACACGAGAAGGAATGATGTTTTACTCAGCAACCTTTTAGAAACTGATTCGTTTCTGGTTCGGTCACGGTTTTCCATGTTTTTTTTGCAAATGTCTTACCTTGATGAAACAGAATAGATAATCGTGTTGTTTTCATGAAGGACTACAGAAAGCAGAAAATAATGACTGCTGAGAGACTGAAAACAGAGGACTTCGACAATTTTAAGTTGAACAATAGCTCGAAACGATTATTTGATGAATAAACTAGTTGTAGATTAATTTGACAACCAATTGATTGTTGATTAATTGATTCATCTTGACACCTCTGGTTTAAATTGTAAATATTCTATCTATATTATATATTCTGCTTCTGAAATTTCAATATAATTTTAAATTCATCTGACAACATCACCTTAATAAATGTATTTCTTAATTGATTTTCCAAAAATGTTAGAGAAGTGCGCATGTGCATGTGCATGTGGCGCTCCATAACATTCGTTAACAACCCAGGCTAAACCTAGCTCCTCCCAGGCAGACAAAAATCAATTCAACATGCTTCCGAGAAAATTCCTGTTAGCCAGAGCTTTGAACGTTTAGCACTTTAGTGCGTTATAAAATGAGCAGACCATTTTCAGAGACAAGCTCAGGATACGTGCCACAAAACAAAAACATGAATTTGAGAATAGCGAAGGACTAATGGGCAAGGGTTCGCTGTAGAAAAGAGAAGACGTGGTACCTGAAGTTCACACCAAGCCACCTCCACCCAAGTTTCAGTGTCGAGGCCTTTGTAGACGGTCTTAAAAGCTCCTCTGCCCAGCTCGATGTCAAACTTGAGGAACCTGCCTCCAGGAGAGGTGGCCACTGCTTTCATCTCCGCCTCCTCCTCCTGCTCGCGCTCCCTCTCTTTGCCCTTTGGGGTGGGCGAAGAAGGAGGGCCATCCTTGCCAGGCTCCTGGTCACTGGGGCAGGATGGATCCTGGCGCAGGCCAGTGCAGGACACGGTTCCTTGCTGTTGGGCACTGCAGCTGAAGACTGGATCAAAGGAGTGAAAATCAAGCTTGGGCGCGCTGTGCGGAGCTTCTGCGAGAACCACGTCATGGTCCTCCTCACAAATCTCCACGCTCTTTCTGAAAAAGCGCTTCTCTCTCCTCTGACTTTTCTGGCCTGTGTCAAGCGGCAAGGTTGAGAAGAAGGTTTCGGGCGTGAGGCAGGCCACCACAGCCTCCTGATGAGCTTCTCCTGTCCCTCCATGCTCTTCTCCTGTCCTCCCCCAGCCCTGAGCCTGAGATAGGAGGATCTCGGAGGGGGTGCTGCTTGACCTGTCCCTCTGTGCGTCGGCACCACCATGCTGCTCAAAGTCCTCTTCCATCTGTCCATCTGGTTTCTCCGATGAGTCCTCTGTGCCTGTGGGCTCTCCTGGGTCGGTAGCCATTGAGATTGTTTTTTTTTTTTTCTCAGTCCGCCAAGACCTCCTCTGTAGCGTTCCTCCTCCGTCAGTCCCCGTCTCTGTCTCTCAACAGACTTTTTTTTTTCTGTGCTCAAACTAGGGACCCAGAGCTACCTTCGTCCCTCTCTCGTTCAACATTTCTTCAACAGTGAGATCACCGGAGAGTGGTTTATGTCCTGACTTTCCTTTGAAGTATCCTCTACATTTTCTTCAAGAGCCACTTGAGGCCACCAATAAGCACTCCTTCAAGGCCTTATGAAGACATTCAAGCAGGGTATTTCCACAAGCCTGCCGGAAGGGATGGGGTCTTCCGCCGACTGTCTTCACCTGAAGCCTGCAAGACAACAAAAACAACACAGACAATTAAGAAGCTGAGAAGCACCATCTTGTTATCAGGTAGTTGCCATACTCTTCTTCTGAAAGCAATGCAGTCCATGTGAGCCCCTCTTCATTTCCATTGGGATGACCATCAAACAGATCTGACATAATTAAAATCCATTTAACAGCTCAACCCGAACTCTCTGGACAACAATACACGTATAGTTAGCTTCTAACCGTTTTGATTCTTGTGCCTTCGGTGCCATGCTGCTGACCTACAACCTGCTTGTATGCTAGAGGGTACATTCTTTTACGAATGACTAATGCAGCTCACGATCAGAGCTGTTAAGAGAGATCTATTTTTTTCTTTATTCTCATTCAAAGTTTGTTTGATCTGCAACACAACTGTGGCCTTGTCAGAGAAAGAGAATCTGGAGCACCAGGAGGAGTATTTTCAAACGGTTCACGCAAGCTAGTGCTGTTTCTGTATTTAACACACTACAAAAGCGCACCCATGCCTCCCTGGGTCAGGTCTCCCACTAAGGAAGTGATTTCCTTTTTACAAACTCAATCTTGACTTGTATCTAGTTTATTTTTCTGTTTTATTCATGTGAGTGACCATTATGGCTGTTGCTCATCATGGCACCATTGTCCTGACTGTGTTGATGTGGTCGTGATACTGGTACGGGATAGTGTAGTGTTGGGCGATATGGAAAAAAAAATAAATCTTATCTCACGATACAGGGTCATCCCTTGCTGTATTGCACTTCATTTATCGCGGCTTCAGTACATCACGTTTTTTTTCACAGTACTGTATTTAGAAAAAAAAAAATGCCTCAGCACAAGTGGATTCATCCCATGAGCTGATTGGCTGTGCATCTTCGCACCCACGCCCGGCATCTTCCTTTGTGTCTCGTCACTCTGTTGAAGTTATTTTCATTTAAGGTACTAGTACTTTTACTCGGTAATCTCTTTCTTTACAAGACTGGCAGCGGTTCTATCCTGATCATGAAATATGGACGAAGAACTATGGACTTATTCAGTGTGAATATTTCATGTGCAATGGAACTGACAAAGTGTACTCAAAGTATTACAGTGGTGTGATTATATGGAGCTTTGAAATAGCATCTGAAAGCTTTAGGTGAAAGGACTTCCAGGGCTGCTGTTTAGTATATCTTGTGTACATCACTCTCGGTTTTACTTATTCCTATCATTATCAAACATGACTAAAATGCCACTAATATATATAATAATAATAATAATAATAATAATAATGCATTATATACACGCAACAAGTCTAAAAAATATCTGGTAAAATTGAAAATAGATGCTTTCAACACTGCCTGGGCTCTAAATCAAGAGGGGAAACGACAAGTAAAAGCAGCTAGCGTGAGACGCTAATGTAGCAGTGTACATCACGAACAGATGACCTCAAATGCATGACACAATCCACCGAAGAAGTCATTTGTTCACAACATGCTGCCCAATACCACATGAGCGTCTTATTGAGCCACCGGCAGTTGGACAACAGCAAGTGGAAACGTATCAAAGTGAAATCGCCTCATAGAAGCAACAGGTTAGCCTAACCCTAAGTTAAAGTAACACAGTATTTTCTTACCACCGCCGTCCTTTGAGAGAAAGAAGCCAGTCTAAGAGTTCATCCTTTGATGCAGGGGAGGTGTGCTGACGGCTTGCATTACATAATGATGTCACATATGAATGACAGTTTCAACTCCCCATAAATGTTTAGGGGTTGCTTTGTGGTCACTCTGTCAGGGTCAGAGTATCGCCACAGTGGAAGTGAAGAGCGGGATACAGGTCGGTGTATGAACTCACATTTACGACTCCTCACGTTTTACTTGACAACCAAACATGTGGATCATTGAAGGGCCACTGTTGTCAGGTAGCCCCGTCTCAGGTTGCAGCCCTCCTGCACCGCATCCACCAGGAACGTTTGTGCGTGCCATATAAATGTGCTCTTGATTTGCAGACAAGCGCAGTCAGCAGCAAGTCTTGGCAATTTCTTACAATATAAAAGCAACACGTCACGCATGGTGCTACTCGCGTTGAGACAAAGCGAGCAACAAGCTGTCAATCAAATAGCAAGCACAATCGGCTGATGCGAGAGCAAGTGGCTTGAGGATTGTAAAGTATGAAAAGGACTTCCAGCTTTGCCACATTCCAAGATGTTGGGGAAAACTATAATTAGTATGGAACAGGTGGCTATGATGTAACATGATTACAGAAGAACAAATCATACACTCAGGACTTTTGTCCCACAATCTGAATGATCAGAGACGCTGTAGCAGCGTACAATCGAAAGGTGACATCCAGTATTTGAACTGTTTGTATACAAATAGTGCCGGACTATCCATCAATCAGCTGTGAAAACACACAAACATGTAAATGTTCTATGAGCTGTCCGTCTCCAAAACTGTTCAAATTCTTCTGAATTATGCCAGATTAGTGGAGTTCATCTGCATGTGAATACTGTTTCTGGCGCCATGATTTAGCAGCTACACTGGGCGAAGATTTGTCAATTACAAGCGGTGCTCGGAGTCCAGCCATTTGCCACATGAATAAATAAGGTACACTCATTGACACATTTTGCTCAGCAGCTTGGTGATCAAGAGTTGCCACCACCAGTAAAAATGCTATGGAACTTGCTTTTTTTTTTCTTCACACTGAGCGAGGAGTACCTCTCACTTTGTCAGGATGCCCTTATGATGCCTTGGGTTTTCATGAAAAACGAAAGCCGTACTCAGTAGTGGCTCCGTAGCGCACGGATGCAGTGTAAGCATCGGCTTATTATTTGTATGACATGAGACAACTCCCCCACCCACCAAAAAAAAAAAAAAAACATTTATGCTTTCAGCTTGTTACAAGTGGATGTGAGATACAATGATAAAATGTAATTCCTTATCCTTCGTGTATTTTAACCAAAATGTCAACAAACAAGAAGAGCCCAGTTGCTTGTATATTCAATCTTTGCGAAATGTCAGAGACCTTTAATTAAGACACCAGCAGGGGGAAAAAAAAAAAAGAGAACCTTCCTTAATCTCACGGTGGGGACACAAACACACAAATCATCGTTGACCACAACTGCATTACAACTGGCAAAATGTTACTTTAACTGAGAGTAGTACGCACAGGAAGAGTTTTGTACACTGTAAAGACAATTGAGATTGTAAGTCTAATGTGAACGAGGACATTCAATCGAGCAAGATGCTATGGAAAGGCACTGACTGACTTTGGGGTTCAAGCAGGATGTGGGGACTATTCCGGTTGAACACAACTAACGCCACAAGAAGCAAATTGCCTTGGAGGAAGGAGTTTATTGGCTATGTCCTCAGGGCAAGGAGTTGCCATCAAATCCACATACCGACCGAGTTATCACAGAACATCAAACTAGTTCAACCCATCACTGTCTTGCAAATCCTGCACATAATCACACGCACACATGCACACACACACACACACAAAGTCTCCATTCTGTAAACACAAATGGTAAACACATAGGCAAGCTAAAACAAACATTGTACTTCCACCTCTTTCCTTTTCCTCCTCATGAGCACCAACAAGGAGTGCATAACTTTTATTTGCATTTGTTTTTTTTTTTTTTACATTTTTTGGGTTGTGAACAGGATTATAGACAAAAAAAAATTGAAAACGACCATACTAGTGTAAATTGAGGGGTTCGTTGTTTTTCAGTGGATGGCTCTTCTTTACGAATGACAGATGGAGAGATGGAATCCTTTAATGCAGTTTATTAAAAAGGAGAAAGAAAAAAGAACGTCTGCACCTCCGAACGGATGAACGAGAACACACCCCCTTTCAGTCACGAAAACACTTCCTGCTTCTCTTTAGCCAATCAGACGCAAGCAACATAAAAATGTTTCAACAATTATTAAACAGAATATAATTTAGATAACTATAACATAAAAGATTATAATGCTCAAATATAAAATGAAAATAATTGATAATTCAACATAAGCTTACACTAGTATTTTCTTGCAGACTAAAATGCTAGCTGCTCAAATTAAGTTGCAGAGGCTGTTCAAGTTTTGTCTATCATGCCTGTTGTTTTTGACAGAAATGCAAAGCTTAAGTTATAATTTACATTTGTTTGAAACAACTCCACTTTTAAAATTTTCTTGACACTAACATAGTTTGCTGCCATGCACAATGTGAATAAAAGAAATTAAAACTGTTGATCATACAAAAAAGGAAAGCAAAAGGTTATTCGTTATTCAGTGAAATCTATGTAGTTTATTCAACTGCAGTACACAATTATTGTATAGAATTTTCATTAAGATACTCGAATATTTAAATAATTGACAGCTACATGTTTCATGTTACACTTGATAATTGTTTTGGGTTTTTTTTTTAAACACATATGAAGTTAGCAGTTATCCACATTCGTCAATGAAGATGGTGCATTGTGAACTTGTCATAAAATCCAACTAATCGATGCAGGTCCATATTTGATTTTTAAAATGGACAGATGGGCATTTCATAGATGATGTTAAAATAAATGAATATGTAAAATAGTCTTTGACTCTAGTTTTTAAGTTTGTTATGAAGTTGATCATTTTATTGATAAACCAATTGCACTTTGGATCCTTTACTCAGCGCACATTAAATTTCTGAATCCCAAATGCAGCAGGAAAATCAGTCAGGCAGACAAAAGAGGAGACTGTTTATTTGTGTGTGTGTGTGTGTGTGTGTGTGTGTGTGTGTGCGCGCGCACACAGAGGCAGAGCACATTTGTGTTGAGGGGGACAGGAAGGGATTGACATTGGACAGTAGAGTTAGAAATTGGGGAGCTGGAAGAAGAGAGGGAGAGAACAAGGGGCTTTCGAAGAGGGGTGGGAAAATGTGTGTGTGAATAAGAACAAGAGAGAGATCAAGAGGGGAGGGGGGCGCAGACAAAAGAGGGCTGGGGGAGATTTTGTCTAATAAAATATGTGCTAGTGTTGAATGTGTGAATGAAAGCAGCAGCTATAGCTCAATGCG